TGATAATTTACTCACCCCCATGTCATCCAAGATGTCCATGTCTTTCTTTCTTCAGTCAAAAAGAAATGAAGATTTTTGATGAAAACATTCCAGGATTTATCTCCATACAATGCACTTTACTGGTAACCAAACTAGTAACGTTCAAGGTCCAAAAGACAGTGTCAGTGCAAACTGTTCAAATGGCTTTAAACGTTTCCAGACGATGAATAAGGGTCTTATCAAGCGAAACGATCGCTCATTTAAAAAAATAAATAAATACGTTTGATAATACCCTTATTCATTGTCTGGAATCATTTAAAGCCCTTTGAACAGTTTGCACTTAAACTGTCTTTTGTACCTTGAACCGTTTGGTGCCCAGTAAAGTGCATTATATGGAGAAAAATTCTGGAATGTTTTCATCAAAAACCTTCATGTCTTTTCGACTGAAGAAAGAAAGACATGAATATCTTGGATGACATGGGGGTGAGTAAATTATCAGCAAAAGTTTTTTTTTAAAAGTTAACTACTCCTTTAAGGATAGTTTTGGGACAGGGCAAAAAAACTGTTGCAAAAAAACAAACCTGTTGCCTTTTAACTGCCATGAAACCTGATTTTGAATCAACTCATAAGGCACAAATAGGCATATTGATTATTTTCAGCTCAGTGAAAAGTTTTTCCATTTGCAGGATCTTTTTGGACAAAAGGACTTCTTCCCTCAGAACGAATTGATTAAGTTTTTTGCCACTGAATTCTGCAGCAAAAAGCCCTTGAGTGTGCTGTGTGGAAACATCTTCTTTCTCCTCTGTGGTTTTGATGAGAAGAATCTGAACATGGTATAAAACTATTAAGCATTGTTCACTTATGCTCTTTTATCCCAATGGATTAGTTTGAGTTTGTCTGTATCTTTCAGACCAGAACACCTGTGTACACAACACACTGCCCAGCAGGAACCTCAGTCCAGAACATGGTTCATTGGGCTCAGGTAAAAAAGAAAACTCACAGTGACATGTGCATGTGTCCCTTTCCATCTGCAATACATTTTAAAACATCCCCACATTATTTCCTCAAAATGAGTGAAAACGCAAACCCCAGAGGTTGTGACAGTTCCTTCATCCATCTCAGAGTAAAAAAAATATCAGTGTGAAGTAATACTGAGCAGTGTCACAATAGGGGCTTTTGGGTAAGTCCAATTTGACATTTATCTGAACCTGCTTGATCACATTGCCCCACATGTATTCTCAGATGCAATTAAAATAATGTTTTTTGCTTTTTATTTCCTCGAAGTTACAATAAGATAGTAATTATAAATACAGTTGTAGCAGTTACATAAAGGGATAGTTCACTTTGAATTTCATTTTTGCTATGTTTTAGCTTACCTCAAGGGCATCCAAGATGTAGGTGTCTTTGTTTCCGCAGTAGTTTCAATTTTGATATTTTTAGGTCAAGCCGTTCTTGTCTGTCAGTCATATAATGCAGGTCTATGGTCACCACCTCAAAGAGCATGCACAGAAAAGTCCAAATTAAACATGATTTAATGACTCGATACGAGCGGTTTGTGTGAGAAAACGAACAGTATTTATACTTACAAGAGGTAAAAACGATATAAATACTGTGCGTTTTCTCACACAAACCGCTCGTTTCGTGTCTTAGGCCATCAATGTGTACATAAATTTACGAGTTATTAAATCATGTTTAATTTGGACTTCTATGTGCATGCTATTTGAGGTGGTGACCATTGACCTCCATTATATGACTGACAGACAAGAACGGTTTGACCTAAAACATCAAAATTGAAACTACTGTGGAAACAAAGACACCTACATCTTGGATGCCCTTGAGGTAAGTTAAAACATACCAAAAATCTATTTCAAAGTGAACTATCCCTTTAAGATAATAAAGTTGCATGCACACGTTTCTCTGTGTGACTTAGGGCTGCTTCACATTGCCCCATTAAACATCCACAAACAGCAACATGTTAAAAAATGTAAAGTTGTCCATTGGATTTATAACAACTGTCATGTTCACACCGACCCAAAACCAACAGGGTCTAACAAAACCCAACAACCACTGAAATTTGGTGCTGTGAATTAGTGATAACGAAGGCACACTCAAACATACAGTAATGTACCTTCTACTTTCTCTGTAGTTTGACCTGATTTTTAATACACATCTTGTCTTCTTTGTACAGGCTGTGAAATCCAGCAAGCTAATGGCATATGATTATGGAAAAGCTGGAAATATGGCACATTATAATCAGGTAATGTTGAAGACTCATCCATTTCTCCCCTTAAAGAGACAGTCCATCCAGAAATTACCCTCATGTCTGTATGCATTTCTTTCTTCTGTTGAACACAAAATAAGATTTTTGTTAAGAATGTTAGTAACCAAACCATTAACTTCCAGACTGTTAGGGATAGTCCACCTAAAAATTCCACCCTTTTGTCATTCCAAGTTCCTGTATGGCTGTCTTCTGTTCATAAAAGAAGAATGTTAGTAGCTTAAAGGGATAGTTCACCCAAAAATGAAAATTCTGTCAGTATTTACTCACCCTCATGTTGTTCCAACCCTGTTAGACCTTCATTCATCTTCGGAACACAAATTAAGATATTTTTGATGAAATCTGAGAGCCGGATCACTCCTCCATACTAGTCCATAGGCTTCTTCAGGGATTGAAACTTGCCAGCCCCAAAAAGTTATTAAAGACATCGTTAAAATAGTCCAAGTAACTACAGTGGATCAATCTTAAGTTTATCAAACGACGAGAACACTTTTTGTGTGCAAACTTTGACTTTGAAAATAATTACTTTATTTCAACTATTCATTTCCTTCTCTGTGGGCCTAGAGTCAGTTTACTAGTATAATAGCTTAAGCTTCTGTTGTTGTACACTGTACGCTATCACACTACGTTAACTGACTAAAGGCCCAAAGAGAAGAAAATGAATATTTGAAATAAAGTCATTATTTTTGTTTTGAGCCACTGTAGTCACTTGGACTATTTTAACGATGTCTTTTACATTCTTACATTCTTCTTTTATGAACAGAAGACAGCCATACAGGAACTTGGAATGACACAAGGTTGGAATTTTTGGGTGGACTATCCCTTTAAAGGGATAGTTCACTTTGAAATTAATTTTTGATATGTTTTAGCTTACCTCAAGGGCATCCAAGATGCAGGTGTCTTTGTTTCCACAGTATTTTCAATTTTGATATTTTTCGGTCAAAGAGGGTCCACCCTGGGTTCTTCTCAAAGAGCATGCACAGAGAAGTCAAAATTAAAAATGATTTAATGACTCGTAAATGTAAGTACACATTGATGGCCTAAGACACGAAACGAGCGGTTTGTGTGAGAAAACTAACAGTATTTGTATCGTTTTTACCTCGTGTAACCACAGCCATGTCCAACTGATCTGAAGGCACGGGCGCTTCGGTCCGCGTATGCGCCGGAAGTGATCGCTTGCGCGTGTACGTCACTCATTGTTTACACAGAGATTTCGGAAGCTTTACCTTTCACTAAACATATTTAGATATATCGAAATCGTCTTCCATTGTGATTTCCTGTATATCTAAATATGTTTAGATCTTCACAGTGAACGGTAAAACTTACGAAATCTCTGTGTAAACAATGAGTTACGTACACATCAGTGTACTGATCCCTTCAGATCAGTTGGACATGGCTGTGCTTACTCGAGGTAAAAACGATATAAATACTGTTAATTTTCTCACACAAACCGCTCGTTTTGTGTCTTAGGCCATCAATGTGTACTTACATTTTTGAGTCATTAAATAATTTTTAAATTAGACTTCTCTGTGCATGCGCTTTGAGGTGGACCCCCTAAACCTGCATTATATGACTGACAGACAAGAACGGTTTGACCTAAAAATATCAAAATTGAAAATACTGTGGAAACAAAGACACCTAAATCTTGGATGCCCTTGAGGTAAGCTAAAACATCAAAAATTAATTTCAAAATGAACTATCGCTTTAAGCTGTTTTCCTTATCCGGGGCATTTTGGAAATACTCCAGACTCTTATTATGACATTCATTCAGGGAACTTAAGTCAGTAGTAGAATTGACTCATGTCTGAAGTTTAAAGATCTCTTCTTGCTTCCCCTTCCCAGTCAACCCCTCCTCTGTACAATGTGAGGGACATGATGGTACCTACAGCTTTGTGGTCTGGTGGGCAGGACACTTTGGCAGATCCTCAGGACGTGGCTCTGCTGCTCACACAGATACCTAAATTGATGTACCACCGCAATATTGAGCACTGGGAACACCTGGACTTCATCTGGGGCTTGGACGCCCCACAAGAGATGTACAGCAAAATGATTGAAATTATGAGGGAGCATGTGTGAAAAGACATTTTGATTGAGGAGCAGGTTTTATCAGCAATTTGTTTTTACCATGCTTTGAGCTTAAAGGGATAGTTCACCCCAAAATTAAAATTCTTTCTACCTCTGTTTATTCATCCGTTAAGCAGATGAACCATTTGTTTGAGGTGCTGGTAACCAAATCTGCAAATAGCAATGTATATCTTTGAACTGTCACCTAGAGATTAAGTTTACTAATCACGTGTTGCCTTTTAATGTGTTTTAAAGGACATGCACTTTGTTTGATGTGTTTTTACTAACCTCTAGTTTACCTTACTGTAGCATTCCATTACCTTTTTTAAGGCCTGTTCACACCAACAACAACTATATTAGCAGTAGCACCCATGCAGCAGACAATATCATTCTGTTTATTCCAAGCGCACGCATTAAATGGTCCAGCTCGTTGTAGCAGGATTGAGACTGTCAGTGTTTTTATTGTTCCATCAGCTGGATAAAATCATTCTGAAATTGATTCCAACAAAATCATATTTGTACTGTTATGGTGTGGACTTTGCTATTCTCTAATATTGAGAACGATATCTTTATCATTATAGTTGTCTTCCTTGGTGTGAATGGCCCTTCATGGTCTTGTGTAATGGATTTTGTAAATCATGATTTGAAACCCAATAAACATACATTGACGCTGAAGACGTATACAGAAAATAACTTTATTTAGTGGAGGTTTTATTTATTTTTTTTAACTAACAACATGGCACAAACTAAATCCATGATATCTTACAGTGATAACAAACTTTAACACACACTTTAAAACAACCTGAACATACAGTACATAAATTATCAATATAAGAAACTTACTCATTACTTAAAAAAACAGTAAATCATGGCAACATCGTTCATCCGTGAAATCCCAATCTAAACTCAGCTGGTGAATTGTAAAGGACCGCACTGTCAACTATCTGCTCCCTTATGTCCTCCATTAATACTAATTTGATTTCATTAACATTGTAACAATTTTGTGGAATTGTAGTTTCTTTGCAATATCTAGAGGAGTTTCACTTTTCTGTGAGGGAGACAGAAACACAATGGCAAATTATTACAGTAAGAGTCATACAACAATGTGTATATAATCAACACATAATTTTAACCACTTTAGACTAAAGCCAGTGAGATGTGAGCGAGGAGGGGAGACGTACAATGCTGGCTTCACATCACAGAAATTTTGATCCCTTCAGTATCAGCAATTTTAATAAGTCAACAACACTTTAAATGTGGCACTCAGTTTAGTGTCGAGAACTTGGTGTTATCTTGGTTTAAGAGAATTGTTTTGCTACTAAATACAGTTCCAAACCACTATGTCACCTGTCGCTATATTATTAATTAACAGTTCCAGCAGATTACAACAAAAAGTTACTGTAATATCAAGACAAAATGATTACTATAACTGCCAAAACTAATGAACTTACTTTGTTCTGTATAGAAACATCTGCATTTTTCTGCAATAACAATGGAATGATCCTTTGACTTTTTCTTTGGCACGCATAATGAAGTCCAGTGTTCCCCTTCTAAAAAGATACACAGATTATACAATGAACATCCTGTTTGGCAGGGTTATGTCTACACAATTTCTCAATTAACATTGGGCTGAAAAAGAAAAAAGAAAATTGTTATACTTACATAGTCTACAGCATTAACATCCACCTTAGTGGCCAAAAGAAACTCCATCAATTTCACATTTTTTCTTTGCTTCTCTTCCTTTTGAGAGAGAACAGGTGCAATGCTTTAATATGTATAATGACACACATTTAGGTCAATGAAAAAGTCAAATCGTATAGGCGATGGTCAAGAACACCATAAAACTTCACAAAATATGTTTTAATCCCATACATGAATCTCAAGGACATTATTGATCCCACTCTGCATGCTACGATTAATTTTCAATTACAATTTTAGCTATTACAGCAATTCTCTTCTTTTCAGACAGTAATTAGTCTCTTCTAGAAGTACTATGACCGAGGAATAACTTACCATTATTAGATAACCAATTAACAAGATGGGCATTAAAATGGCAATCATCAGGTAATCCAAGAAGGAGAATGTTCTCCTTGTAGCATAGTGCAAACAGGTCCTTTCTTTCTAAAGAGAATGAACACACATATTTTTAAGCAAAACAAGCAAGCTGACCACACAAACAATTATCAATAAAATGTACCACAGGGCGAGTCTGAGAAAATTATTATAGTGAATCAAGTGCACACGGGACTCCTTCATAACAAACAATGGTAGCATTACGATAGTCAAGGTACAAACTGAGAGTCTTCTAACTAATGCAATACCTTATTCCTAATGGACACATTTGCATCGTTATCTAGAAGGTATTTGACACTTTTGATGTTTCCCCGTCTACAGGCGGCTATAATCGGTGTGTCTCCCGTTCCTTTATCTTGAACATTCACATTTCTGGCATCAGCCGAGATCAGTTCATGCAACTTGTGGACGTCATCATCATAAGCTGCCTGACACATGGGCTGTGGAAAGGAACACAAACTATGATTACGAAAATACAAATTCTCTCATTTCTAGTACATTAACAAATGTAAGATGACTAAAGAATAATCACGTGCATGTGGAGTAATATAGTATGGAGTAATCAGATAATGGTGAAGTGCAAAACAGGTCTGGTGACATTACAATTATGATGAATTCTTAACACATACACACACCCTTTCCAAACACAAAATGACAGATAAAATAACAAATGGTACGTTTGTATTTACATAAACTCTGAACATAAAACTGCAAGAGCAGTATTATTTTCCTTTTCATGCTTAAGTAAACTACTTTATTTTATGTATTTTAATGTGTAAAGGAGATGTAGATGTTAATGCAACACTAATGACAGAAGTTGGTATTAATTTAAACATGGTCATCTCTTAAAAAGTTAAGAAAAGATGATAATTTTTTTCTCAAAAGAAAAACATTAAGTTACGTTGACAGTGACACAGAATTGAGGTATGACGAACAAAACTCATTAGGTTGTTATACATTGAATCGCCTTAATTTAGCATAATAAGGACCAGTCAATTATCATAATCACCAGTTAACGTTACATGAGCCAAAAGACATGAAGATCAAGCCATGTTTCAAAGAGCCGGTAAAATAGCCCAGGTTACTCACCTCTGAGTACAAGATCCCCATTTGGTTTCCTCTGTCACTAAAAGGGAAACGAACTTGAAAGCCCTTAATCAGGACTCTGGGGTTATAAATCTACAACCCTTTGCTTGCTTGCTTGCTTGCTTGCTTGCTTTCTACCTGTGGGAACTGTGTTGTTAAGCGCTTCAAGTTCAGATAAGGGTGTGGTCATTTAGCTAACGACGACGCATCCGCAATGACGTAATCCGTGTCGTTCAGGTATGGAGGAAGTGTAACGGTGGAATTCCGTTCTTGGTGATACATTCATTCCACCACACACGCACACACACACACACACACACACACACACACACACACACACACACACACACACACACACACACACACACACACACACACACACATAATGTGTCTAAACGAGTTCAATAAAATCTTACAGTAAATGAAAGAAAAGAGAAGTGAGAGAATGAGATCCTGTCAGCAGCAGCAGATCTTAAAGTTCACTTTTAAAAAAACTTTTGCTGATAATTTATTCACCCCATGTCATCCAAGATGTCCACGTCTTTCTTCCTTCAGTTGAAAAGAAATGAAGGTTTTTGATGGAAAAAATTCCAGGATTTTCTCCATATAATGGACTTCATTGGGAACCAAACGGTTCAAGGTCCAAATGAGAGTTTCAGTGCAGCTTCAAAGGGCTTTTTAAACGACACCAGAAGATGAATAAGGGTCTTATGTAGGACCCTTCGAGTCATGACTCAAAAAAAGATTTGTTCATTTTGATGTACGAGTTTGAACAGGAGATTCACAAACGCTCATCACAGAACAGAGCAAGGAGAGCGCATTTGTGCTTATAAAACTAAAAAAAATGTATTTATTTTTGAAATGACATCGCTTGATAAGACCCTTATTCATCGTCTGGCATCGTTTAAAGCCCTTTGAAGCTGCACTGAAACTCTCATTTGGACCTTGAACTGTTTGGTTCCCAACAAAGTCCATTATATGGAGAAAATCCTGGAATGTTTTCATCAAAAAACTTCATTTCTTTTCGACTGAAGAAAGAAAGACATGGACATCTTGGATGACATGGGGGTGATTATCAGCAAAAGTTTTTTTTAAAGTGAACTACTCCTTTAAAGTGTCAGCAGCCTCTAATTCTCCCTGACTGTGAAGTTAACCAAAAAACAAAGGGGACAGAAAAATTTACTAACTGCTATTGACTAAATAATGTTTGTATTTTTAATCAATATTTAATTTATATTTAAAATTTTTGTTGTGGGGTGGGGTCATTTTCATCGGGACATCAGTAAGTTAGCAACAATGTCAGTGATAGTGATAGTGATTATGTCAGTGATAGCCTACTGGCCTTCATTAAATAAACAGATGCCATTAAACAATTATTTTAAATGTTGTCTTTATGTTGTTTCTACATAACATTTGGAATTGAGGTGCACATTATTATTTTTTTTTACACACAAAACATTACAGTTTTTCTCCATCGCTTTGGTGCATTTCTCACATCATTTACATTTGCACAACAGTTAATGCAGTTCTCAAAACAATTACAAACTGCAAAACTTAGTTGATAACCTGCAAAAGTGTGTCATTTGCTCAAAATGGATAAATCATTCCCAAAAACAAGTATTCATGTCATTGAAAGTGTCAGTGTCGTGAAGATGAAAAGTCCTAACACCAGTGTTTATGAACAAGATAGTCAAATGGCTTTGTCATGTTTTCATTATGACAGTTTACTCTGTAAGTGTTTGCCAATGCAAAAAAAGTCAAATCTTGGTGACACTATACCTGAAAATGCTCAAGACAGTCCTATTTTCACAGCCATTTAAGTTTCACATTACTGTAAGTGAGGTACAGTAATTGTGTACAAGACACTGAATATGTATATTTCACATTTTTACTGCATGGTCTTTGCAATTCTAATTTATTCAGAGCATTGTGCAAAAGATAAAAATACACCCTTATTTACAACAAACATAAACTCCCTTTGGGTAGATCGGTGCACAACTGTAAACAATATCACAGTACATATTTGAACTGAACATACAACATACTGCAAATCATTCATGCACATCTCTTCTCAATAGTGAAAGCTGCAGGTTCACCTGCGAGAAATTGTTCAATTTAGGATAATTTTTTTTTTAAAAAGATAAAAAAAATGTAAAATTTGCTTGATGGATTTTGACAACTAATTTAACATTTTTGTATGTGATGACTCAAGCAATGAAATGAGGACTATTAGTTTTAAATGGAATGATTATTCAGCATTCACAAGTATAGTTCATTTGGACTGATATGACATAAGCAAATGATAATGTTATAAAACACCAGAGAGTTGTATGAAAGCAATTGATGCATGTCCAAAAGCATTTGTAATTTGTTGGAAGGAATGAGAAACCCAAAGCGACTGAGAAAAACTGTAATGGCTAACATTTTGACTTTAATACAATTATTCTCTAAAGTCTTGGCGATCGGCCCCTATTAGGCTACAGTAAACGATAAAAAAGTAAGACACATTTTTCTTATACATAGCCTATTCTTTTTGGCAGAAATTATCATCAAATTATTTCCTGGTTTTTGTAACACCTAAATGTATGTAGGCTACATCCAGGAAATGGGATTCAAATCGAAAGCATTTCCCCCCATTTTGTATATATATATATATATATATATATATATATATATATATATATATATATGATTCAACAACATAGATAGACAGATAGATAGATAGATAGATAGATAGATAGATAGATAGATAGATAGATAGATAGATAGATAGATAGATAGATAGATAGATAGATAGATAGATAGATAAAACACCCAATAAATAATCCCAAAGTAATTCTCAGAAAAATAAATAAATAAATAAATAAAATAAATAAATTAAAAAAAACTGCATAGGCTAATAGGCCAATTGCCATGACACGGTTTTTATGATTTATATAGCCTGATTGTATTTTGTTTTACTCAACTGCAGCAGAAATAGGCTTTTATAGAGTAGCCTATAGGCCTAGCTAATGTTTATTATCTATAAGCAGATTTATGCATCCAGATACGGCCTGCAGATGCAATTTGGCGATTTGGAGGAGTTGTGCCCCATCTGGTGGATAAAAATACAAACATGTTTTTGTTCTTTCTCTCTTTTTTTAGTGTAACATTTTGACAAAATACGTAAACCATCCGAGAAGAGCGTGTCATTAGGCTACTCTCGTAAATGAATGATCGTGGACTCCATAATCGCCCAATTTGAGGATAATACAATTAATAACTTTAATGTCTCAGCTTGTAAAGCTTGTCGTGATATGCATCGATTCGTCGTCATTCCCACCCCTAGCTGTCACATTGGTTGCTTCTCAAAGTGAACTAGATATCGTTTTGGGCAAAGGGCATCATAGAAGGATCTCGAGAATCCGGATGATGTCTAGATAGGCGGCTCGTGATGTTTTGAAACACAGCCATTCACAGCACAGCTGCTTCAGCGGCATTTATCTGACTCACACACACACACACACACACACACACACACACACACACACAGAGAGAGAGAGAGAGAGAGAGCTCCGGGCGAACCATCTGATCTGACATCGAAGGGTTATTCGTTCAGAAAGACAGCAATCAGCCATTTTAGTCCTACGCGTATATGCCAAAAAACAACAAAGCTTTCATGAGGCACAAAGGCAAAAGACCGAGAGTTTTAGACAATAATAAAAACCTGCTCTTTTATTTACGCGAGTTGACTGTTTTCGCGCTGAATTCTAGCATGTGCCACATGTGACGATTACAGGAATGTGGAGCATGGGATCACAACAGCCATTCACCTGCAGGTGAGGAATTCATTGTATTTAGTTATATAATAATTATTTCGAGTAATTTGTTGTGACATAATTTGTTGGTGCTAAGCTACTAAATTAAACCTATACGAGTATGTGTTTAAATTAAAATGTTGCAATCTTGTCAGGTGGGAAAAATATCATTGACAAAATCAATGTCATTTGTATATTTGATATGCTTGATTATATAATGTTGTTCGATTATTTTGTCATCTTAACATTATTGATTTTGTCTTGGAGGAGTTTCAGGTTTGAACACATTAGATGTTGATCATATAAAAAATGCATTTGTGTCATAACTTTTTAGTGATGGAGAAAAGCAGAAGTTAGTTAAATGACAAATCGTGATGTAGATGATATTAGAAAGTAATAAAGTAATCAAATAAAGTTACGTTAGTGTAATATAACGTTTACATACAGTTATTACATGGTGTATCTAATAACAAATAAACAATATAACAGCCTAACTTATTCATATACTGGTCAGGGATGAGTTATTCGTGAACTTTGACATCATACATAGCTAGTGAGACAGTCATAGTAATTGTATTTTTGATACCTAGCCTACAAACATGTCTGCAGATGTAGACATGTGGTTTTAATTTACTTGGCTCTTAAAATATGTTGAAGAACTGCTCATCCCTCCTTGAACATGCTTGTGTTTTGACCGCATGATCTCTGTCTAGACTTCCACAGAACACAATAATACATTAGAATTTTGAAGGACAATTATTTCAGTGCATAGCACATACCATTATTATTTTTTTTAGATATATTTTGGTAATCCTAAATCACATCTCAAAGGGATAGGTCACCCAAAATTGTACATTTTGTCATATTTACTCACCCTCACGTTGTTCCAAACCTGTATGAATTTCTGTCTTTTGTTGAACACAAAAAAGCTATTTAGAAGACAGTTGACGGCAGCCATTGACTTCCATAGCATTTTTATTCCTACTATGGAAGTCAATAGCTTCCGTCAACTGTTTGATTGCCAACATTCTTCAAAATATCTACTTTTGCGTTTTACAGAAGAGAGAAACTCGCAAAGGTTAGGAACAAATTGAGGTGATGACAAAATTGTATTTTTTAGGTGAACAATCCTTTTAAAATCTTTTTGCTTGTATTGCTTGTATAGACAATTGCTGAGTCATTATGGAATACTGCATCACAGCAATTTTTAAAACTGTAAACAAAGTTTACAAAAAATTTGAACATTAATGATCTAGATAATCAAATGGAAATATACATTATACAAGGACCTGATTAACAGAGATTGCTCAGCGTTAAATCTGTCACATCTCCTGCTCTCTACTGTTAACAGTGCATTGAGTTTAAGTTTCCATGGTAGCATTAATCTGGATATTTTCTTCTGTGCTGGTGATACCTTTTCAATTTGTTAATTTGCAAAATGACGGCACTGTGACTGCACTCTAAGCTTTCAAAGTGTATTGGAGAGAGAATTTGTCCAATCTACCTATCTTTATGCTAAGTGAAAAAGCAACCAAGGATTTTTTTTTTTCACAGCTGAAGATATCCATGAGTCACCATATTTTGCTGCATGGTAACAAGCTGTCATAGCAACTGTAGCACAGATTCTGGAACGAATAACCGTGTTATTTGGACCGGGATGCTGAATTAAATTCGATAATCCCCATGGAAATGCACAGGGCACGGTAACCGTGTTAATAGATTAGGAAGAATAAGCTAGGAATTCTAAGGCATGGAGTTGAAGCCAAATCCAGTATTGAGTAACTGAAAACAAAAAGACCCAGGCGGAATCGACCCAGTGGCCTCTTAATAGCACTGCTGTGATGCCAGATATGATGTTTCTTGCTCCTCAGCTTGGAATCGTCTTGGGAGATGACAGATGGAAGCATAGGGAGGATCGAAGCCTGCAAAGCAACGTCGTAAACTCACCATGGACCAGGGCTTCAGTTTCAGCACACTGGTGAGTGGCGTTGAGGGAGGCTGAGTGTGGTGGGGGACAGCTGATATCACTCGGAGGTGGGTTTCAGGGACAGAATGGCTTCCTCTGACTCACTCCCATTAGTATTCCCATTGCAGCTGTTCCGTCATTCAGATCCCTCCATCCTGGAGTGGGCGAGATGGAAGAGCGGATGTAGCCCCCTTCACACTTCGCTTCCCCTCTTTGTGAATGCGTGATCAAAATAGTCTTCTTATTAGACTTTTAATTTGGCTGTCCACCAGCGTTCGCAGATTTTTGTGTGCGTACTGCATACTGTTCAAAAGTCAAGCAAGCTGTCATGTTCAGCAAGTCTTAACAGCTTGGCAGGCCCTTATTGGTGCCCATTGGTGTCCTGCTGCATGTTGATTAGACGCCCCCTCTTTCCAGTGACCCTAAAACAGAGGCTCTGTTTAGTCATTAGTATGGGAGCGTGGGCGCTGCCTTGTGTTCCGGTTCGCACTAGCTGGGTGATGAACAGAGCTTATGTTGTGTGTGCCGGAGGCCTGTGATGTCTTTGGGACATAATTCCCTGTGTCGCTGGCGTATTGGGACAGATGCTGGTTCTAAATCTAAAAAGATGTGCAGGATGCAAAATAATCCTAAAAAATATTGAAATTAGAGGGCTAAATCACTATATGTCTCCCATCAGGTATAGTTTTTCGTAGCTGGGGAAAAAATAAATAAAAACATGGTCTCGCAGAGGGTTCCTCGTGGGTTCTTATGTGTAATTATGTTTTTTGTTTGTCCTCTCCGTTTGCAGAAGAAGTTAGCGGCCGAGCCGGATCACACTGACGTCACTTTGCCGGCAGTGGAGCGTGTACGGGCCCTCAGTAAAATGGGCTATAACATTGAAATAAATGAAGACATCGCCCCGAGGCGCTACTTTCGCTCTGGTGTGGAGATGGAGCGTATGGCAGCTGTTTATCTAGAGGAAGGCAGTCTGGAGAATGCCTTTGTCCTCTACAATAAGTTCATCACGTATGTTTTTATTGAATTCATTTATTTGATTTGTCCGATTGGGGCCTTTTTGTTTTGTGTCTTTAATTTAATTTTCCGCCATAATATGCATAGTGTAATTCACGGCCATCAATCCTCAGCTCTATTTTCCTTTTTCACTCCTGTGCAGTTTATTTGTTGAGAAACTCCCCAGTCACAGGGACTATCAGCAGTGCAACGTCCCTGAAAAGCAAGTGATAATGAAGGTAAGCCCTTGGCATGTTACTCACAGGAACTGATGGAGCCCTGTGGCGCTCAGCCCACTGTAAATCTGATTAGCATCATGCTCAATTACCTTGGCTGTCAGGCTCCCAGCTGCTCACATGGTGGGTTTTTCTTTTTGTAGGCATATGTTCTGCTTTCATTTCAACATGTTGACATGAAAATGACTTCAGTCAAAAGGTTGTTCCTTGTCACCTGATGTTTTAAACATTGTTTATAAGGTAGATTTCTAATTAAAGCTTTTTTTAAATTATTTTATGGATGTTTAAATGCATTTAGTCTCTGTCGTTTTGTGCCTGATGAACCTTTTTGTTCATTTTTCAGTTCACTAGGATGTATAAAAACTCGACCCCCACGAACAGTTGTGTTGCCTGACGAAATATTTCCTATTGAAAAAGGACCTTAAAGCCGTGTACACACTGTACGATTTAAAATAGTCAAGTCATCTTTATTTATATAGTGCTTTAAACAATTTAGATTGTTCCAAAGCTATATGACAGTGATAATAGGAACTTAAAGTAACAGAGGCTACGTTCACACTGCCAGGGCTTAATGCTCAATTCCGATTTTTTGAAAAAATTCGATTTTTTTGCAAGGCCGTTCACATTTCCAATTAAATGCGACCTTTTGTGATCTCCTGTGTGAACGTGAAATGACCCAGAAGTGACCCGCATGCGCAGAAGAGTAATCAACGGTCAACGACGTCACTTGTTGTTTGTGGAATAATTCTTTTTTTTCCATATGTTGTGAGCTTTTGTTTTATTATTATTATTGCCACAGCCCATATACAAACACAGACAACAATTATTTTATCGACAGGCAAAGTTTGCACATAAATGTAAGATTTTTCCGATCCTTACCGACCTCGTCGTTTAATTGATAGTGCGCGTCCTCGGCGCTCCATGCTTTGTCACCGGCGGCCGCGGTGCGACACTGGTGGCTGGTGTTGCCAGATTGGGTGTTTTTTCGCTACATTTTAAGGCATGTTTACATGTGTTTTAGCCAGGCTTTCGCCTGGAAGGCTCTATAGAAATCTGGCCCCCTACTGTACGAAGTTAAACTGACAGAGAGCGCACGTTCACAGACACCAGAATGAACGTGTTCACAGTAATGTTCATCAGGCAGTAATACAGTATATGAACGCGTTCAGGCACAACACTGGGGAAGAGACACGTCTGCAGCGGCCCACAACAGTGCAGAAACGCGTTGGAGTTGAAGTGTATTGGCTAGCTACAGGTGCATGCAATGACGTGCGGGTCGGATATACACTCACCGGCCACTTTATTAGGTACCCCATGCTAGTAACGGGTTGGACCCCCTTTTGCCTTCAGAACTGCCTCAATTCTTCGTGGCATAGATTCAACAAGGTGCTGGAAGCATTCCTCAGGGAGTTTGGTCCATATTGACATGATGGCATCACACAGTTGCCGCAGATTTGTCGGCTGCACATCCATGATGCGAATCTCCCGTTCCACCACATCCCAAAGATGCTCTATTGGATTGAGATCTGGTGACTGTGGAGGCCATTTGAGTACAGCGAACTCATTGTCATGTTCAAGAAACCAGTCTGAGATGATTCCAGCTTTATGACATGGCGCATTATCCTGCTGAAAGTAGCCATCAGAAGTTGGGTACATTGTGGTCATAAAGGGATGGACATGGTCAGCAACAATACTCAGGTAGGCTGTGGCGTTGCAACGATGCTCAATTGGTACCAAGGGGCCCAAAGAGTGCCAAGAAAATATTCCCCACACCATGACACCACCACCACCAGCCTGAACCGTTGATACAAGGCAGGATGGATCCATGCTTTCATGTTGTAGACGCCAAATTCTGACCCTACCATCCGAATGTCGCAGCAGAAATCGAGACTCATCAGACCAGGCAACGTTTTTCCAATCTTCTATTGTCCAATTTCGATGAGCTTGTGCAAATTGTAGCCTCAGTTTCCTGTTCTTAGCTGAAAGGAGTGGCACCCGGTGTGGTCTTCTGCTGCTGTAGCCCATCTGCCTCAAAGTTCGACGTACTGTGCGTTCAGAGATGCTCTTCTGCCCACCTTGCTTGTAACGGGTGGTTATTTGAGTCACTGTTGCTCTTCTATCAGCTCGAACCAGTCTGGCCATTCTCCTCTGACCTCTGGCATCAACAAGGCATTTCCGCCCACAGAACTGCCGCTCACTGGATGTTTTTTCTTTTTCGGACCATTCTCTGTAAACCCTAGAGATGGTTGTGCGTGAAAATCCCAGTAGATTAGCAGTTTCTGAAATACTCAGACCAGCCCTTCTGGCACCAACAATCATGCCACGTTCAAAGTCACTCAAATCACCTTTCTTCCCCATACTGATGCTCGGTTTGAACTGCAGGAGATTGTCTTGACCATGTCTACATGCCTAAATGCACTGAGTTGACGCCATGTGATTGGCTGCTTAGAAATTAAGTGTTAATGAGCAGTTGGACAGGTGTACCTAATAAAGTGGCCTGTGAGTTTATGTGACCTGGCCGTTCAGACTGAAGTCGCATTTCAAAAGATCGGATACATATCGGATTTGGACCACATACCCAAGTGGCCTGGGTCGCATTTGAAAAGATCGGATCTGTGTCGTTCAGACTGTCATGAAAAAAAATATATAGGGGCAAAAAAATCGGAATTAGGTCGTTTCAGCCTGCAGTGTGAACGTAGCCAGAGATTGTTTGGCTTTTAATAGGAAAAGGATCTACCGCCTGCCATCAATTTTGATATTCTAGGTATTATCGACTGGCCAGAATTATGAGATCGCAATAGACATGAAGGACTATAATGTGTTAGGAGCTCGCTCAAGTACTGGGGAGCTAAACCATTTAGTGCTTTGTAAGTAATCAGCAATATTTTAAAATTTATACGATGTTTATTAATAGGCAGCCAATGCAGTGTTGACAGAACCGGGCTAATATGGTCACACTTCCTGGTTCTGGTAAGAACTCGAGCTGCTGCATTTTAGATCAGCTGAAGTTTGTTTATTAAGCGTGCAGGGCAACCAGTAGAGCATTCCAATAATCTAGCCTTGATGTCAGAAAGTCCTTTACGATTGTTGCTTGTCAGACTGTATGAATATGAGCCATGTCACACTTTAAGATCTCAGTTGTCATTAAAGCAATAGTTCACTTAAAAATGTAAATGCTGTCAACATGTACTCCCTCTCAAGTTGTTTCAAACCTTTAAGAAGATTTTGAAGAATGTCAGTTACCACAGTTGATGGACCCCATTGACTTCCATAGTAGGAAAAAAATACTATGGAAGTCAATGTCTGGTTACTGACATTCATCAATTTTTTTTTAATGTTCAGCAGAAGAAAGAAATTCATACAGGGTTGAAACAAATGGAGGGTGAGTAAATGGTGACAGAATTTAAATTTTTAAGTGAACTATTACTTTTAAATGTCAGACTGCATGGCAGTCAAGAAGCATTAAAATCGGGCACGCACAAGAAAACTCGTCTGGAGTTATACATCAATCCATGACGAGTTCTGTGACAGTGAGCTGCATTGCGCGTGGGATCGAAATGATGGCTACAAAGAAATCTCTAACATTAATTTTGGTCATGGCTTGACTTGAAAAATGAAGACAATTTGACGTCATCGTAGGAGAAGTACCATTGCAGGACTGTGAGTGAAATCTTCTGACACTGCCAGAATTTAGGTAAAATTTGATCGAAATTGTCATTAATAGGCTGTCGGTGAACATGTCAAACTATGATCTAACAATCAAAGTTTTTAGATTTCAGCCTAGAATGAGAGATTTTTTTGTTGTGTGTGTGTGCAAATTTTTTTTCAGATGGCCAAATCGTGGCCAGAATTGTACAGTGTGCACCCGGCTTAAGTTGGGACATATCTAGGAATTGTTTCAATACCCTGAGGTTTATGTCAAAAGCAAAACCATTACACATGATTTGCTACTTGCTATTGCTAGTCTATTGCAAGCGGTATTGCTACAGTAAATAGGATTTTATTCAAAGGTTATTAAAGTGTTTTTTTTTTTTTTACCAAATTTTTTGTGCAACATGAGTCATCAAAAAAAGTCTGCAAAAAAAGCTTTGTCCTCTAGCATATAAAAAGCTTCAATTGTAGCTGACTGTGACTAAATCTTTTTATTATTTTTTAATTTGAAAATTTTTTTACTATTTTTTTTATTTTCATTTTTTTTCATGGGGTCTTCTTAAATACAAAAAAGATGAGTAGTTAGTTTGTGTGTCTATTCCCAGCTTTAGAAAAATCATTATGTCCCTGAAAGCTTTAGCTGGCACATATTGATCTGGTACTCACTGTCTGTAACACAAACCCTAATGTTTCTTCCATTGTCTGTTCATTATGTTCAGAAATTACAGGAGGTTGCTTTTCCACGAAAGGACCAATTGAAGAGGCTTCTCCATGAGAAATACAACAAAGAACACAGTGAATATCTGAAGAGTCAGGTACATTAGACATGACACTTTTATCACTGCTTATTAAATGCCTGTTAATAAAATGTCAGCTTCACTTTGTTATCGTGAATATCAGTCATAATGTGTTTGTTAATATTTCTGCAGACTCAAGCCATGGCTGTTGACGCGTGTGGTGAACGGCTGCAGAAGATGTCTTTGATGGAGGAGGAACGGCAACGTGTGGCACAGCTCAGGAAGATGCAAATCGAGTCCGAACAGTTTCGCTTCTTCGAGGACCAACTGCGTAGACAGGAGATGGCCAGTCGCAGGGATGAGGCTGTCCCCAAAGTGCCTGAACAAACCGACGGGTCCTGCTTATCCCAGACCCCGAGAAACCATGTACGCCTTGACCCCAATCGTAACAAACCAGCGGCCCCCACCCCCAAACCAGCAGCCACCTTAGCAGCTGTACAGAGTGAGTGCCCTCATTTAACTCGTTTTTGTGATTTATTACTCTGCTCTCTTTAGTCAAATCGAATAATTAATGATCATTTACTTGCACTACTGTTTGTGGTCAGTACGATTTTTCTCTCACAAGGCTTCATTTATTCAATCAAAAATACAGTAAACAGTAATCTGAAATATTATTGCATTTTTTAAAAAAAGTATCTATTTGAATATGTTTAATTTATCAGTGTCTATTTACACCAAGTGCAAATAGTCTGCCTTGTTGGTTGAAGTTATTTACATTAAAGCTTCAGTTGGTAACTTACTTATGAGAAAACGTTGACTTTAAACAAATTTGAACAAGCACAACTTACAGGTCCCACCCCCTTGCTCTCTGCTGCGCTTAGCCCTCCCTCCACAGCTTCTCCCCCTCAGCGGAGCCTGCCATGAACGTGCGGGCTAGTAAGCAGGGACACCAATGACGGCCAGTGGCGTTCTACATTGAATTACACCCTGGGCGAGACCCTTCGAGCGCCCCCTCCCCCCCAACCAAGAAAAAAACAGCAACCCAACAATAAAATCACATACCGTTCATTTGAAAAACACAGTTAATAGAATCCAGTTATTTTGCTAGATTTCAGGGAGGAACCATTACCGCATTGGTTACTGCCTTGAATTCTATGCATGGCACACTTTTAGTTATGACTTGTTAAACTGTCATGAAATATAGTTTTTGGTGAAAGGGTCCGATATTTACAAAATACTTATCTTTTTGTAGGCCTATGTCACTCTTAAATGTCAGAGAAAAGGACAGAATTAGAGATTATTTTTAATAGAAAATTGTACTTTGCATATTATAAGCTACGGTAAATACTAGGGGTGTAACGGTACATGTATTCGTATTGAACCGTTTCGGTTCGAGGCTTCCGGTTTGGTACGCATACAAACCGAACGGTTGCTTGGACCATTTTTCCTAACGTTGCGCAACATCAAATGGCAAGCGTAATGAAAGCAGAACGAAACTGCGCTCCTCGTTATGTGCTTCACGGATCGTTTATCAGTTCGGACCAGCAACATCTGTGCAGCGCGAGCCGATCTCGATCAAGCAACACTGTTACTACACAGCGCTAAGAGATCCGGTAAAGAACAGATTTGAATTCGCCACTGAGGTAATAACATCGCTGCGAGATCTAGTGAGATGCATTCACATTTCTCCGTTATTAACCGTACTATTAGATCAAACAGCGCTGTCATGGAAACCAGGAGAAACATTGTGCCGTGAATGAACTAGTAATACTTTCGTCCACAGACCAGCAACATTCACCATGGATTTAATATAGTAACACTAACTGGAACCAGTTTGGCTGGAATGGTGAAATGCTTTCAAGTGCTTCACACATCTTTTTCCAGCACTTCAAAAATTCAAATATTATATAAATAAATATACATTTAAATGTTATTTTTAATGTGATGACCAAAACATTATTTGTTCATCCTTCAAAGATGATAAACCTGAAAGTTTCAAGATCTAGGAAAACTCACACTTATTTAAAAATATTTTTTCTTTAAACAAATAGGAAATTTCTCTGGCATTTCTTTCTTTTTGCTGTATCGAAATCGTACCGAACCGTGACTTTAAAACCGAGGTACGTACCGAACCGTGATTTTTGTGTACCGTTACACCCCTAGTAAATACACATAATTATAGTTGATTTTAGTTGATCATTATGAAAATTATTTTCATTTCATGAATATAGTGACCAAAAATATCACGGTTATACACAGAATCCTGTTCAAAAAGCCTAATACACAATGAAATCAATTCAACAAGTTAATAGCATTAAAGATGATGGCCAAATTTTAAAGGAGTGTATTCTATGTTATCTACTAATATGCACACGTTCAAATAAACTTTTGACAAAAAAGGTTTTATAAAAAGATAAACATCACATATTTCAGAATGAGAGTCAATAAAAATAGCTGTTATGGGAAAAAGGAGGCGGGAACCGGCAAACCTTCAACAAGTTTAATAATAATTAAACAAATACAAAATTAAAGTATAAGCCAGGAGCCCCTAACTTAGCAACCGTAACTAGGCATGGGAGGTCTGGCAAGCTTTCGAGCGAGGGAAACATGCTGAAGCATTATACGTATGGATTGTGCAGGTATCCAAAAAGTTTGGATGGGGAAGTGGAATTGTTTTCCTTCCTGAAACTCTAAAAGCCAAGGGTAGAAATGGTGGGCGTGATCATGCAATGTGGGAGAGCCATTCACAACTAAATGTTGACATGATTAACAAAAACACCTATTGCTTGGAAATATTGACGGTTCTTTGGTCATGGATATTTCAGCATTTTGTTAATCGATGGCCTACTACCCCTGACTAAGTAACTTTAACCCAATCCGATCGCCGATCTCCCGGTATTAGTGTTATTCCACAAGATTTATGGATAAGAAGTTTGATTTATAATTATTAGGATTATTTTCACATTTCACGTACCCTGCTGTGCATGAGCATAGCTGTTCCTCAATTTGTGTTTCCCATTTGAATGGTCGGCATATGAGGCGGCTGCTGTTTGCACTGGGACTATAGGCTTTAGCTTTAATTTTTAAGAAATTATTCTCTAATCGGTTGCATATTATGTCATGAATATATCCCTCGAATGGAATACTGTCTTGCTCTCTCAGATATTTTACATGTTCACCAAAAATGACTAATTATCTCATTGGGAATGTCTGACACCGATGCATCCACACTATAATAGATGTACCAGCCGCGAAAGCTTGACAGGCGTAGCAACAGTAACTAGGGAGGGCGGGGCTTAGCGAAGGGTCAATTGTTGCTGTGTACAGTGCGTGACATTTTATCTACATTTTGTAACGCGGCTACAGTTTTGACACAGAGTCAATGGGCTCTGTCTAATTCTTTCTTTTCGGTTGTTTATCATCTTTTTTTTACTTTTACCCTTCTTTGTTTTATGAGCAGGTGCTACTCGAGAAATTGGCAGTTTAGGTTGTTTCTCAACTGCAGCACACTGGCAATCTTGAGTTTGGTTTTAATGACGGCGCTCTGTGCAAGAGAGGGGTGTGATCAGCGCGTACATCAGCGTGATTGACACTGCTAAGACACTCCTCCTGGCTCTGATTGGTTGTTTCTGACCGGGAGCCATGTATTTCTGCAAATGGCAATAGGACCACTGGGAGGAGCCATAAGAGTTTGATTTTTTTTTTTTTTTTTTTTTCACAGATTATCTGTCTCATATTCTACTGTCAGCACAAAATGACAGTTTGAACAAATATGTAAAAAAAAATTGGAAAGGCATTTATTTTCAACAAATATGAAGAAAATATGTGAAAACTGGAATTAAGTGTCTTACGGTTATTCAATAATAGTGATTATCGGTTAGGTTTAGGTGTAGGGAGGGCTTTATTGGCTTATTATTATGTTATTATTACATACTATTTTATGATTTACTAAAATACTTATATACAAAGTATCAAACTACTATTTACACTTTGCAAATTTGCAAAGAAAATACTTCTCTCTATTGCTATTTTCACTTAGTGTAAATAGCATATTACTAAGAAAATAATGCTTTTTTTACATATAGTGTAAATAGAAGCTGCCTTAATTTATTCTTGTTTTGGCATACTTTTTTTTTTGCTGCCAAGCCATACTTAATTCTTCCATGTCACATGATCCTTTAAAACTTGCTCTAATATGCTGATTCGGTGCTTAATTTTTATTTTATTTTTTTGGAAAACTGTGATCTCCAAGACCACAACCTTTTTAAATGTATACATAATATTTTAATGCATAAATAGAAAGTTCAAAATATTTTGTTTATTTTCTTTTCTGACACTTTTGATCCGTTGTATGCATCCTTGCTTAAAGCTAAACTGTGTAACTCTTTTAGTTTATTCTTAGCTAAAAACACTTAGTTCTTTCAAAAATATATGTGCTCATTAATGTATATTTACTTCGTTCAAGTAATAAAGTATTCTCGTGAGTGTATAACATGCCATTGAAAATACATACGGGTAAGGGGTTCCTAATGTCGGTCGCCATGTTGCCCCTCCATCTTGAAAGTACATTAGCCAAAGAGGGACATACCCGTTAATTCAAGCTTCGCCTTTCGCGTTTACGTTTGAGTTAACACTCATGGACGAGGTCGAACTAGAAGCCATGTTAATCTTGGACTACATTGGCCACCGTAGGAGTTAAAATGAAATCAGAATTGAGAGGAACAGAAACTAATGTTCACTGGATGGTCATGTACATTTTCACTGCTAGATGGGGGTAAAAATCACACAGTGTAGCTTTAATAAAACTATTGAAAATAAGAACTTACTGACCCCAACATTTTAAACGGTGTATTCATTCATCAACAAACATGATGATGTACAATTAGACAGTCATTAATGCAAAATAAACCCCTTCAGGATGATACAAATTTTATTTAGCCTGTCTCACTGAACATGATAAAAACACTTGTTATTAGCAGGACTAGACTGAGTTTGTTCCTGTGTGTTTCTAGGTCAGCGTGTGGAAGGCCTGAGGCGGGTTTTAATCCCACGAGACCTGACTTACAGGTTCCTTTTGCTGGCTGACAGCAACACGGCGAGAGGAATCGAGACATGTGGTGTTCTCTGTGGAAAACTGGTAAGGCCTCAGATGTAGCAAAGGAAACCTCCTCTCTGTAGGCGTCAGATTATTCTGTTCCGTCAGTGACTAAAGCTGAATTTCCTGAGTCATGATGATCCTTCCATGGAAGTTAGCGTGAATAGGATTTGATAAGTGTTAATAGTCGAATATGTTCTTTATATACAGTCTTTCTCATTCACTGTGAAAATGGGAGCTTAGGTGTTGCACAATCTTTGTAAATACCAGATGCGGATGTGGACTTCCTCATACTTTCACCACAGATGAAATAGTCTCACTATCATGGGTTTACAGTATCTACTGTAAATACTACAATGACTGGCTTCGACCCTAATTTTTCTCAAGTTTATACTCTTTTTACACTCTTATCTCTTGCTTTTCACCTCTCTGTCAATCCAAAAATCTTCTAAGTGAACCTGCTGCTCAGCTCCCATACAGAATGAATTGTTCACCTCATTCAACTTGTGTCAGAGGACACTAGGGTTGGGTATCGTTTGAATTTGAACGATTCTGATTCCGATTCCTTGTTTCGATTCCGGTTCCTAACGATTCTCGATCCCGATTCTTTTAAGAGGCAGGGTCAAAAAAGTTTAACTAACCTTGCTAACCAACGGTCTTTCTGAAGGAAATAATCCTTTCTGAAGGAAAAACTCCTTCTGTCACAAATACTCCTTTTGTCACAAATTTTGCATTTTGCCGAGATTTCGTTATTTTTAGAAAAGTGAAGCCACACTTTGGACCGCCGACGTAAGCTACTCATGTTCGACTCGCGCGGTTATGCCAACACTTCCGGTAGACGCTTCTTTATTGGTGGTGTTCAGCGGGTTCTTCTTCCGCTCGACGGACTGTGAATATCGAAACTAGGAATCGAAATTTTAACTTTTGAACGATTCCGGGAAAAACTAAAAGTTAGTCCCGATTCAAGTCCCGATAGTCCCGATACTCGATTCTCGATACCCAACCCTAGAGGACACGTAGTAAAATTGTGGGATGCTGTGTTGGCGTGATGTGCAGTCTGTTAAAGGAGTAATTCACTTTAAAAAAAAAAAACTTTGCTGATAATTTACTCACCCCCATGTCATCCAAGATATCCATGTCGTTCTTTCTTCAGTCGAAAAGAAATGGAGGTTTTTGTTGAAAACGTTCTAAGATTTTTCTCCATATAATGGACTTTACTGGTAACCAAACGGTTCAAGGTCCAAAAGACAGATTCAGTGCAAACTGTTCAGAGGGCTTTAAACGATTCCAGACGATGAATAAGGGTCTTATCAAGCGAAACGATCGCTCATTTTAAAAAAAAATTGGTAAAGTTTAAGTTTTAGAAGCTCAAATGGTCTCCTTGCTCTGTTCTGTGATGCGCGTTCGTGACTCTCCTGTTCGAACTCGTTTATCAAAATGAACGAATCTTTTTCCGAGTCAATTCGTTAATTTTGTTCGTTGAATGAACCAAATGACTCGGAAAAAGATTCGTTCATTTTGATAAACGAGTTAAGTGCATTAACTCGAGAGAAATGCTGGAATGTTTTCATCAAAAACCTTAATTTCTTTTCGATTGAAGAAAGAAAGACATGGACATCTTGGATGACATGGGGGTGAGTAAATTATCAGCAAAAGTTTTTTTTAAAAGTGAACTACTCCTTCAATAGACAAACTGAAATCTGTGTTTTGTTACCCATAGACGCACAATGAGTTTGTGCTGACCCATGTGATCGTACCCAAGCAGTCCGCCGGTCCTGACTACTGTGACATGGAGAACGTGGAAGAGCTGTTCAGTTTCCAGGACCACCATAACCTCCTGACCCTGGGCTGGATCCATGTGAGTGTGGCTCTCACTTATTGTCATGCAGGTGAAAATCCTGCTGTCAGACCCACACAGAATCTGAGCCTGCAGAAAGTGCCACAAGATTTCCACAGAATTTGAGTAGCCATCGTCCACACGTAATATATTTTGGACGATTTTATTATAGCAGTAAGAGCATACCTCCATTTATCGATTTACTCTAAAACTTTTTGTTTGTTTGTTTATTTAACCCAATTCTACAAATTTCTCATGAAAATGGGGGAAAAAATCTGCAGATTTTGTATGGGCCTGGTCATTTCTAATAAAACATTACAGAGCTATGTGCTTTTTATGCTGTCTTTGGTAGTCTTTCGTAGTACGAAGTTTGCACTTGACGTTTGCGTGTTTTTTTTACGTACGTCACAGTGTGCGCTTCACCAGAGAGTCGGAGTGGGTGAGTCGCTTGGGAGAAGAGAGCGGGCAAATTCGAGCAAAATGGGAAGTGCAGATTTAACTCTCAATGGCTCAAAAATGACTGTTTCGGAGATAGGTGGCAACAGTGACAGCATTGAAGCCAAGTGCATTTTAAGCCGCAAGACGTTTAAAATGGGCAATATGGGAATGAGGGCGAATTACAGATCTCTTTTTTTTCTAACAGACTTTCAATCTGTTTTCTTTTTTAAACTGGTGATTGCCCGGAGGTTTGAGATTTAGCGTGCTCCATGTCAACTACTGTAAGCTATGCCACTCAAAGAAGACGGAGCAACTTTTCTCTATTTACAGATATGGCGAGGCACACACAGGCGGGTGATAGATGTACTCAATTCCTAGAGAAAATCATAAAGCTAGGGCTGTCAACTTTAGTCGTTTAGTCGACTAATCGGTCGACATTCTTATTGGTCGACCAGTTGCATTTTTTTTTTTTTTTTTTTTTAACCAATAGAAAGAATTTTTCAATGATTTACTCCTTGATATTTATTCATTTATAAGCAGTTATTTATTACTGTATTCTAAATATAATTAGCCTATGTTTTGTCCCCAACTTTAAAATGCTTTAATTTAGGCTATTTTTGTAACTGCGCCACAGTTTAGCGCACACGCATAATACACTCGGGAACCGCACCTGTGGCTGGCTGCGCTGCTGCTCGCGCTCGGTAAGAGATGCTGTATTCATTCAGTTAGAACGCTGCTTGTTTTGGCTTTAGTCGACAAAATGTCCGGGAAATCTAAATCTTTTGTCTGGCTGCATTTTAAAACAAAGACGACAAGACTGTGGAGGGAGGCGATCGCGTTACTCCATTATATTTGAAATCGAACTTGAGCGTGCAAAAGACGCAAGCAGCCTTTTAACGGCTATATCATGCTGACTCAATAGATTGTGTTTTCTTAATGTTTTTGTTTTTATTTGTACACTTGACGCATTTGAAAATAGCCTAAATAATGCAACAAAACGAAAATAAACCTATACGCGGTCCTACAGCCTATTGTTAGGATTGTTTTTAAGTTATTTGGGTTTTTTGTGTGTTGTTTAAAACGCCTTGATCGTCAGGACTAAAGTTAACCCATAGCCAGTCCCTCCAGGATTTCACGATTTTTTTTTGTGATTTTTGCGATCAAAATGACTGATTTTGTGGTGGTAATTTCCAAACATTTGTGAAAAAATTTGCGATTTATATATAACATTTACCATAATAGTATTCAGTCCTTCCAGAAAAACGCGGAGTTTTTTGTGTGATTGTTGCGGGCAAAAATTGATGGATTACGCGGTAAACTACTGGCAGCTGTGGTTGCCAGCATCATACCGTAAATTTATGCAATTTTATGCGATGAAATTGCAGGAATTTGCAAAAATTGAGGGAACTTGCAAAAATTGCAGTTTGATGAAAAAGAGAAAAAAAAGTGATTCCCCCAACACCCTGTTCTCACTAGGCTAATGTAAGAGTCATTTCTTATTACTTCCTTTGATAAGCAAGCATACTACATCATAGAAAGTGCTGGGAATATTTAATTTCTCATCTTGTTTTATTTCAGACTGTAACAAATGTGTAAATAAGGTGTGGCCCCTTTAAGAGCTGCGCGCTCCCTGTTGAACTCTCTGCAGTGTTATATGTGCGCCTCGAACACCCCATGTGTGCGGGTAATTTCTGTTTGATGCTACTTCTTTTATCTTATGTTGTTTATTAAGTAACGATGTGACGGTAGAACGTGTGACAGACAGTTATACGAGTTCGATTTGTGAGATGTCAATCGCCTCCGTGAGTCTGTCTGGCGTCGCGTAATTGCGTCACTTCATAACGTTCCCATGGAAACAGGGGGAAATGGCTGCTCTTGTGTGAAGCAAACGCAACATTTACTTTCTGCTAAAATACATGTGACTTTTTTTGCAACGAAAATGCGAGGATTATGAAATTATGCAAACCCCGCATATTTTGCACAGAAATCGGCAATTTATGCGGCGAAAGTGCGGCGTATTTGAAAAAATGCGGCCCCCGCATAAATATGCGGACTTTGGCTGATTTTGCATTGAATTCAGCGATCGCATAATCGCGTTTTTCTGGAGGGACTGCATAGCTTTGAAAGTAAAGAAGAATATAAAGCCTGTATAAACGAGAGCTTTTGTTGGGATTTTTCATTATGTGGCAGATAGCAGTTATATTTTTTGCAGCGTGTGGTGTGGTCAGGTGCGCGATTGTGACTGTTACTATAGACCGAGGACAAAGCTCTTCACTTTTTGCAGTTAAAAAATCACTTAATTTTCAAAGAACTGTATTATTATTATAGTTTTATTTATTTGTGATGTTTTTTCGTTGTTGTTTTATAAATGCTCAATGACAATTGTTTAAAAAATGTTTAATCAAAACAACAAGTTTTTTTTTGTTTTTTGTTTTTTTTTAGTCGACTAATCGTTGCGCAGGACTCGACTTTGGTCGACTAAGGATTTTTTTGGTTGAATACAGCCCTAGCTTAGTCTTAAATATGAATAGACAAAAACACAGTTTGGAAGGATTAATGTATTGACTCATTATTTAAATCGGTTAATTCTGAGTACAAAAGTTACATTGTGTACCTTTAATTTGTAGATCACCTGCAGAACTTTGCACTCCCATCTCTGCTTTTATGTGATTGCAGTCTCACACTAATTTGCCCAGTTTAGTAAATCTGGCCCATAGTCTCCAAGTCACCTTCTGTTCATTTAGCATGGTGAATTAATAAATGGCTGCATGAGAATAAGGAGAATAATACTAAATGGTGTTAATATGAATATTTGTATGTTTAACTCCCAGACACACCCGACACAGACGGCCTTCCTATCCAGCGTGGATCTACACACACACAGCTCTTATCAGCTCATGCTACCTGAGGCCATCGCTATTGTTTGCGCACCTAAACATAATGAGTGAGTATAACACTCACAAAACTCCCACACCCTGCATTGTGTTCACACAACCTCAAGGCTTTTCCCATCCACAGACTATAAAGCGCTACTGCAAATCAATGCTAATTCATTTGTTTATTAACAATAGATTTTTGATTGTTTGAAAAATGATACAATTATACTTCCACGAATCATTTCAGTACTCTTGTTGGTAAAGAACAACATTTAATCAAGGCAAATAATGAATTTGAATGTCTCTCATTAGACTATGATTGAACTACTCCTTGCAAGTATATTATATCTTTTGTCTTCTGCAGTAACAATTGGATGCAGTAACATTTTGCTGTATCATGCTGCAATTTAATGAAGAAATGAGATGGATGGATGGATAGATATGCATACTACAATATATATATATATATATATATACACATACATACATACATTGTCATGCTCAGAATGAATGGCACCACTGGTAAATATGATCAAAACTGCCTGTGAAAAATAAATCTGCATCGTTCATCCTTTGATCTTTCATTAAAAAAAATGCCAAAAATCGAACCTTTCATTTGAAGTAAAGGTGTGGTGTGTCAGAGGGAAATCACATTGTGAAATAAGTGTTTCTCTCCAAAACACGTTGGCCACATTTATTGGTACCTTTAGAAGTTTTTACGAGTAAAATATCCCTGAAGTATATTCCCATTAATATTTACCTTTTTTAGCACACCAGGGTGACTAGGAACATGAAATTGTTCAGCCTTGACTTCTTGTTTCACAAGAGTTTAAATATGAGGAAACAAAGGTCAAATGCCCTTAATCATCCATCACAATGAGTAAAACCAAAAGAAGATAGTTCTGATGTGCTGTAAAATGTTGTTTAGCTTCACAAAATAGGAAGTGGCTGTAAGAAAATAGCTGAAGAATTGAAAATCCCCATTTTGACCATCAGGGCACTAATTAAAAAGTTCCAATCAACTAAAGATATTATGAATCCGCCTGGAAGATGACATGTGTCTTTATTGCTTTAAAGGGACAGTTCACTTTGAAATTAATTTTTGATATGTTTTAGCTTACCTCAAGGGCATCCAAGATGTAGGTGTCTTTGTTTCCACAGTATTTTCAATTTTGATATTTTTCGGTTCTTGTCTGTCAGTCATATAATGCAAGGATAGGGGGTCCACCCTGGGTTCACCTCAAAGAGCATGCACAGAGAAGTCAAAACTAAGAAACGAAACGGTTTGTGTGAGAAAACGAATAGTACTATTGATATAGATTTTACCTCTTGTAACCACAGCCACATCCAACTGATCTGAGTGCGCGCGCACTTTGTGTCTTTGGTTACAAGAGGTAAAAACGATATAAATACTGTTCGTTTTCTCACACAAACCGCTCGTTTCGTGTCTTAGGCCATCAATGTGTACTTACATTTACGAGTCATTGAATCATGTTTAATTTGGACTTCTCTGTGCATGCTCTTTGAGATGAACCCCACAGACCTCCATTATATGACTGATAGACATGAACAGTTTGACCTAAAAATATCAAAATTGAAATTACTGCTGAAACAAAGACGCCTACATCTTGGATGCACTTGAGGTAAGCTAAAACATATCAAAAATTAATTTCAAAGTGAACGACCCCTTTAAAGGTGCCCTCTGGGATTTAAAATCAAATCATACAACATGTTCCATACCAGATGGGGGCAGTATACCTCCAGAAATACCTCCACGGCCACGCGCTCTCTCATGTCTTCAAACAATATGGGCGAGTGCTGTGTTGCTCTGTCTCCCTCGTGCATATTAATCAAATCAATTGACACGATAGTAAAAGGTTGGAAGACTGCAGTTTCACGTGGAGCATTTGGAGATTTTCAGAGATTAGAGACTTAATGAACAACATCTCAATACTAAATTATAAGGGCCGTCTCATAGACAAGTCGGTGCATTTCGACGATATGGGAAAATTAAAGCCCAGGCTATTATTTCTAGTTTTATGATATTCGATTTGTTCATATTACATTTTTTATCATTAGTTTGAATTAATTTGACAGACAGCATTCCCTGATGTGGACCAAGCTAGCGTCTTTCAGAGCTCCTAACTCTCACAACACTTTTCACACACTCTCACGCCACACATCAATTTTGTCATGCACAGAAAAGGACACGGAGACCGATCTCAGCTCTCAGATTCTGTTCATTTTATTATGCAATTCAAACAATAAATACAATATTGGCGCTTTACACGACAGATCCCTAGCACACGTGAACCGATCATCTCTACTAGCTAATGGTAAAAGAACACGAACACTGTTAAAAGATACAGTATGCTACAACTTACCAAAATGTATTCCTCATGCATAATATCGACCAATTATTGTTTTTTTAACTCTTCCCTGAACTGAAATGTAGTAGTGGGCTGTATTTTCCACACGACTGACGTCAGGTTCAAGTACACACAAGCTGGCGCGAGCGCGACTCACTCGTGTACTGCAATTTGGCTGGTTGTAACGTTGCCCGCCCGCATGGTCGAAACTGGTATTACGACACCTGCCGGGCCGGGGCTAGTAATTTAGCATGCTAATTCAGATTAATATCTCGGCAGCACTATAACGTGTCAGTTTTTTAATGACATCATCAACCTTATTTCTTCTCAATCTTTTGATGCGTGTAGCTCATTTTTGGGATATTTTAACCTCAATTTTTACAGATGGCACCTTTAATGTTGTGGGCATATTGGTCCTGGACTTACTTGGTACATGGCATTTGATCTCGCAAAGATCAAAAGGATAAATTATGCAGTTTTTTTTTTTTTTTTTGCCATTTTTGACCATATTTACCATGGGTGCCATTAATTCTGACATGTTTGTTAACAGTTTGTCAAACACTAATTAATGGAGTTTTTACTGTAGCTTTTAATTTCTTAAGCAACCATGTAGGAAATAAAATGTGATGCACCTCTTGATGGAAATAGATGCTTTGGTGTGATTTTATTTACCTTAAGAGGTACATCAACTATCTGTCTATTTATCTTCCTGTCTGTCTGTCTCACATACATATATACATATACACATACATATATACAGTGGGGCCAAAAAGTATTTAGTCAGCCACTGATTGTGCAAGTTCTCCTACTTAGAATAATGAGAGAGGTCTGTAATTTTCATCATGGGTACACTTCAACTATGACCAGGAAATCACTGTAGGATTTTTAATTTGATTTTTAAAATAAGTATTTGGTCACCCACAAACCAGCAAGATTTCTGGCTCTCACAAGCCATGTTTCCATCGACACGTTTTTATCCGAATTAAGTGATATCGAATGAAAAAAGCCTTGTGGAAACAGTAAAATTCGATGAAATTTCATGAGAAAATCGACTCAAATGAAATACGTTCCGTCTCATCGAATTTTCTTTTGATCGATATACGGCTAATGCGATAAAAGCTGATGGAAACGTTATTTGCCGAATAAATAATGAATTACGATTAAGTTTTATGCCCTTTTATGGTTGCAACACGTCAGAAGACGAGTTCATTTCCAGCCAGTCTGTTTGCGCACACATGGCGGATGTCAACAAAGACAGATGTAAGTGGACAAAGCAAAAAGATGCTTCAACCAAAGGGTTTCCGTAAACCACGATTTTCCAGAACTGATGGAGCGCTGTCGTTCCCACACCGTCACCTCCGCTGTCGTCGGGCATTTACGTGCATCGGCATCATCATAGCAATGTTTATAGCGTCGTTGTTTTCTTAGGTTAGTTTTGCTTGTTTTTACGTGGCTTGGTTGAATTCTAATGTAGAATGTGGTCTGTTATTTCTAGTTAACAGACTGCGGCGCTGCTAGTACAACACACCGTTGCCATGGACGCAGTTCAGAGACGGAACAGACTATTTTCTTTAGCAGAAGCAATACTCGTTTTTAAATCAATAAACTCGTTTTTAAGTCAATATTTTGTGTCAAATTATTGATTTATTTATTTATTTGGTTGATTTATATGTAGGCCTAATAAGCAGGATAATATATAGCGAGGCGGTTGTTATAGCGAATACAACAACCGCCTCGCGTATACATTATCCCATTCATATGTCGCTATCAGCTGGCACATAAGCATTATTATTAGCCTTCAACTTGTGAAATATTGATCATTTTTTGGTAGATGGCGCGATCCGTTTTGTCCAACAAAACTTTGTTCGCAAAAGTTTGCTTGAATGTTGTTCGATTCAGTGCGAAAATAAATGGAAACACCTTAAAATGTCTCAAATCAATTCGATATACAAATTTGATCGCAAAACAGCATGTGACGTCATTACGTACAGGTTTTTATTCGCTTTAAAGCCGTTGGATGGAAACACACTTTCACCAGCTGTATCCACATGAGTTTTTTAACTGAATTTCGGATAATTCGATTGACAAGTGGATGGAAACATGGCTACAGACCTTTAACTTCTTCTTTAAGAAGCTCTTCTGTCCTCCACTCGTTACCTGTATTATTGGCACCTGTTTGAACCCGTTATCTGTATAAACGACACCTGTCCACAGCCTCAAACAGTCACACTCCAAACTCAACCATGGCCAAGAGCTGTCGAAGGACACCAGGAAGAAAATTGTAGACCTGCACCAGGCTGGGAAGAGTGAATCTACAATAGGTGCGAAAAAATCAACTGTGGGAGCAACTGTGGATCTTCCAGCATGACCATGATCCCAAACACACCGCCCGGGCAACGAAAGAGTGGCTCCGTAAAAAGCATTTCGGGGTCCTGGAGTGGCCTTGCCAGTCTCCAGACCTCAACCCCATAGAAAATTTGTGGAGGAAGTTGAAAGTCTTTGTTGCCCAGCGACAGCCCCAAAACATCACTGCTCTAGAGGAGATCTGCATGGTTAAAGTGTACCTACCTCTCTCATCATTCTAAGTAGGAGAACTTGCAAAATCAGTGGCTGACTAAATACTTTTTGGCCCCACTGTATATATAGTATTTATACACACACACACATCATTGAGATTGTCATTTCTCTGCTTCAGCACGGGAGTGTTCCGACTAACCAGTGCTGGAATGGGAGAAGTGGCCGGATGCAGATTGAAAGGTTTTCATCCCCACTCTAAAGACCCCCCTCTGTTCACTGTAAGAACCATTTATTTCAACTGTAAATATGAAAATCAGCATCTGTACTGCATATGCCTTCTGTTGTGAGTGTTTGCATCAAAAGTGAAACGTCATTAGAGAAGTGAAAAATGGCATTTTCTATTTGCAGATTTGCAAGCACATTGTGGTGAAAGACTCGAAAACGACAGTTCTGGATCTCAGGTGACAGATGAAGAGGGGAAATACTTCAGTATCAGCAAACCATTGAAAATATCTATTTATATCTTTCTTTACTTGAAGGCTTTTTTGTATTTATTTATTTTACAAAAAGGTACTGTGAATCCCTCAGCTGCACAGTTTGCTGTGAGCAGGTTTAGTGAAGCTATTGAGATGTTCCAATGGTGTTTTGTGTTTTTTTTTTTTTTTTTTACACCATCATCATGCGCTTTTTGTTTGTGGCCAGGTGTTATCAAAAATATGGTGGTCAGATTGTACTTTTTAGTATGATATGACTACTGTTTTGGTTCTTTGTCCTCAAGGTGGCGTCATTTATCAAGGCATACTATGAGGCTGCTATAATGTGAATTGTCTTCAGTAATTTTTAAAAGGAAGTTGTTTGTGATTTGTATTTGATATCCATTGGCATCACTTGCAGTTCTCACTGTAACACAATATACATAGAATAAGCGATATTTCTTTTTAAAACTAACTGAATTTTCTAGTACAAAAAGATGATCATGATTTGCTACGAGAGTGATTTTTAGGCCTTACTACATATTGTATCATTTTTAGTGATCGAATGGTTAATAATTATGCTTTGTAAGGAAGTAAATCTACCTTATAATAATGCAACACATACTTCAATTCAGACTTTCAGTGCAGAGACCATTTCAGGCACACAAAAAAATACATTTTCCATCTTCAGCCCAGTGACGCAATACGAAGTCGGCCAATGAGCTGACTGTTACTTTACAAGTTTTTTTTTTTTTTTTTTTCCTACAATGTGGATCAGATTACAAGTGAGTTTGAAAAGCATAAACAAGATTGGGATCTCTTAGCCCACACCAAAGATCCCATTACAGAACAAGCAAATACCTATAAGGGCCTTGACTGCATTAATCTCAGGGTACCATTCCCTCATTTTAACTGCCTGATTTTTGTCTGCACTACTTTTATGGTTTGAGAATATTTCTTTTAATGTCATCAGCAGATGATGAAATTTCATGTATGATGACAAGTTATGATCTTATCCATGCAGTTCTGAAAGTACATCATGTTTTTCTGGTACAGTGTGGCATTGGATTGTTTCTCCAGTGTGTGGCTGTGAGCCAGTGGCGTTGTGCACAGTAGAGTACAAGGAGGATTATGTGTTTGTACATGCACCATTTCTTTCCGCTCCTCATTTGTTAATAAAATGGGGGTAAAAAAAAACTCTGCTACGACTTTTTTTCAATCTAAAAGATTTGGACTGAAGTAGGGCTGTATTCAACCAAAGAAATCCTTAGTCGACCAAAGTCGAGTCCTGCTCGACGATTAGTCGACTAAAAAAAAAAAAAAAAAAAAAAAAAAACGTGATATTTTGATTAAACATTTTTTAAACAATTGTCATTGAGCATTTATAAAACAACAACGAAAAAACATCACAAATAAATAAAACTATAATAATAATATAATTCTTTGAAAATTAAGTGATTTTTTAACTGCAAAAAGTGAAGAGCTCTGTCCTAGGTCTATAGTAACAGTCACAATCGCGCACCTGACCACACCACACGCTGCAAAAAATATCTGCCACTGTGCCACATAATGAAAAATCCCAACAAAAACTCTCGTTTATACAGGCTTTATATTCTTCTTTACTTTCAAAGCTATGGGTTAACTTTAGTCCTGACGATCAAGGCGTTTTAAACAACACTCAAAAAAACCCAAATAACTTAAAAACAATCCTATAATAGGCTGTACCGCGTATAGGTTTATTTTCGTTTTGTTGCATTATTTAGGCTATTTTCAAATGCGTCAAGTGTACAAATAAAAACGAAAACATTAAGAAAACACAATCTATTGAGTCAGCATGATATAGCCGTTAAAAGGCTGCTCACGTCTTTTGCGCGCTCAAGTTCGATTTTAAATGTAGGCGCGCGACTTGCGCGCTCATAATGGCAACGCGATCGCCTCCCTCCACAGTCTTGTCGTCTTTGTTTTAAAATGCAGCCAGACAAAAGATTTATATTTCCTGGACATTTTGTCGACTAAAGCCAAAACAAGCAGCGTTCTAACAGAATGAATACAGCATCCCTTACCGAGCGCGAGCAGCAGCGCAGCCAGCCACAGGTGCGGTTCCCGAGTGTATTATGTGTGTGCGCTAAACTGTGGCGCAGTTACAAAAATAGCCTAAATTAAAGCATTTTTAAAGTTGGGGACAAAACATAGGCTAATTATATTTAGAATACAGTAATAAATAACTGATTATAAATGAATAAATATCAAGGAGTAAGTCATTGAAAAATTCCTTCTATTGGTAAAAAAAAAAAAAAAAAAAAAATGCAACTGGTCGACCAATAAGAATGTCAGTCGACCACGACGGCATCGACCGATTAGTCGACTAAACGACTAAAGTTGACAGCCCTAGACTGAAGTGAAACACGTCAACATCATAATTTTCCCAAGCAAAGTGATACATGATGCAAGTATGATGAAATGTGGAGCAATCATTCATCACCGGTGGAAGATTGCTCACACATGCTTCAACATTATTGTCTTTTGATCCTAATGTGCATTTGACTTTTGATCTTTTAATTTCCCAGTCAAATCATTTACTTTTCTTTAACACTGCTATTTAAGTTTGTAATTTGATTGGGTGTGTAGGAGAAGAACGTTCAAGATTCGTACAATACTGATGTGTCACAGAATTAGCAAAATGTAATGTAAATTAACAAATAGGGAGCAAAAAATGGGAGTTCATAGATACCAAACATGCTACACGTGATTTTAATTAACTATGGTATGCAATTCTGAAACATTAAAGGAGTAGTTCACAAAAAAAAAACTCACCCCATGTCATCCAAGATGTCCACGTCGTCTTTCTTTCAAGTTTTTGATGAAAAAATTCCAGGATTTTCTCCATATAATGGACTTCATTGGGAACCAAACGGTTCAAGGTCCAAATGAGAGTTTCAGTCAGAGATGTATAAAGTACTAGAAACCCGGATTTGAGTAAAAGTACAAGTGTCTATCAAAAAAGTGACTTGAGTAGAAGTTGAAGTGCTCTTTAAGCACCACACTTAAGTAAAAGTACTAAAGTATTCAACATTTTTTATACTTAAGTATTGCAAGTAGATTATTTTGAAATTCACTACTTAAGTACTAAAAGTAAAAGTACAAGTATAGGGGATTATCACGCTTCCGGGTTTCATGGGTGGGATTTGTCAACTTTGTGCATGTCCACTTCCGACCCAGTTCAACAATGCCTAAGACGAATGCTATTTATGTCACTGCTCTGTTCCACTTTGTAAATCTAACCAACAACGCCAACCCTACTTAAGTTTTCATGGATTCCTGACTGAATTGAGTAAAAGGAAGAAGTGGATTAAAACTTTAAAATAAAACAAGGTAGCAAGTTTGTTTGCAGCCGGCACTTTAGTGAATCAGACTAATTTACCAGGGATGCCGTATAAATAAACTTACTGTAGTCCTTCATCAGTTCACCAGCGAGATCGGTGATTCAACGGAAGTGGCAGTGCACAAAGATCACAGAATCCGGAAGTACTATTATTAAAGGTCTTCATGTTTTTTGAAGCTTTGATTTTGTTTACAGTGTGCAATATAACATGTGTTCATATTTTGCGTGTTAAACACTGTATTTTTCACACAATTTATTTCACTGACCAAAAAACGTCCCGATGACTTCCTTGTTCTATGAAGTCCCTCCTTCAGAAATACGTAACGAGTTCTGATTGTGCCAGCGAACCGCCTGGAAACGTCACGTCTCTTACCATAAATCGGAGATGCTTGCGCAGCTGAAGTAAAGTAGCCTGGTTCTACCAGACTCTCGTACATAAATTTCATTTGAAGGAAAATGAAATTGAGCGGAAGTGCGTAGGCTGGCGCAGCCAGGCTACAGCTGAAGTGCTTCTTCGGTTTCTTCTCTGTGGGAGCGCAACAAGACCACGCCCCCTATTTTCGTGTATTCCTAGTTACGTCATTAAAAAAGGAAGTAGAGGGATGTAGTCCAACTGCAACATTACAAGTTTGAAAAATGGAATCGCGTAGAAAGGGACCTTTAAAGAAAGCAGTCAAAAGTTTGAACTAGCAATCAAATAAGGCGCTTTGGCGGGATACAAATTTGCTTTGGCGGCCGCCGAAAAAATGTCATTGCAGGCAACCCCTGCATTAGTTGTCAATGTGTGTGTCAATCAATACCATTACCCTATAAAACTGGCGTGTGATTTAGGCAGCATGAAAGCCAACTTGCAACAAATGATTCGTAAAATTTTTATAATTGTAACTAGTAGAACATTAAAAAAATATCGAAGTAAAAGTATTAAATTCATCGAAAATATCTACTGAAGTAAAAGTAGAAGTATGAGAAAAAAAACAATACTCTAGTAGAGCATTTTAGTACTTAAGTACAGTACTTTAGTAGTTCTACTTCATTACTATACATCTCTGGTTTCAGTGCAGCTTCAAAGGGCTTTAAACGACACCAGACGATGAATAAGGGTCTTATCAAGGACCCTTCGAGTCATACCTCGAAAAAAGATTCGTTCATTTTGGTGAACGAGTTTGAACAGTAGAATCACGAAAGCTCATCACAGAACAGAGCAAGGCGAGCATTTGTGTTTATAAAACTTAAACTTTTTTATTTATTTTGGAAATTACCAATCATTTCTCTAGACAAGACCCTTATGTTGAAACTCTCTTTTGGACCTTGAACCATTTGGTTCCCATTGAAGTCCATTATATGGAGAAAATCCTGGAATGTTTTCATCAAAAACCTTAATTTCTTTTCGACTGAAGAAAGAAAGACATGGACATCTTGGATGACATGGGGGTGAGTAAATTATTATCAAAATTTTTAAAAGTGAACTACCCCTTTAATCCAAAAGAGTTTGATTAAAACATGGGCCAAACTGAGATGGGAAAATTTGATCCGTTTATTTCCCAAGTGGTTATATATAGGATTAAAAGGGAATTGAGTGAGTCGAACCTCTCTAGAAATTGTTTCGTAAACCGTCTTTATGTGTGTACAGTAATTATAAATCATTTACAGTAAATAAGTTTAGAGAAATATTTACACATTAAAATTATTAATTTAATAAATGCAGTTTTTCATTTTTATTTGTGCAAACGTTAAGCCTGAGCTGTTTTTGTAGTGCAGAAACAAAAGAGGTGAAATAGAGTTTATTATTGTGGAGCTTTATTCCTTCATGGAGATATGATGTCCATACAGACTGCCTGAAAGCTGACATGCAGTTGTGTTTTAACACAAAAGGGAGAATGAGCCCTGTTCCTCCATGCCTTCTCCTCATCTCTGGGGTCTCGTAATCCCAAAGAATCTCCCAAATCCTTCATATTGGCAGCACATTCAAGCTTTTGAACCCATTGAAAACAACACTACATAAATTGTCATGACTTAACATAATTAATTCCAAATAGATGTGGGCAGTGCAAAGACAAAACAGGGAAGTACGTTCACAGTTTACAGGCTATGAAGCAATAGCAGAATTAGGGAACCAGGTTGAAGGTGGCGTTTAGAAGCACTTGCGATGCACAATGGATGGCCCGGCCTCATCGTACTCCTGCTTGCTTATCCACATCTGCTGGAAGGTGGAGAGAGAGGCCAGGATGGAGCCGCCAATCCATACTGAATACTTGCGCTCAGGTGGGGCGATGATCTGTGTACATACAGGGTGGAATCAGTGTCAGTATTGTTGAGATTTTCAAGTAATTTTAAAGTGTTTTTATTTTTTTTTATTTCAGTTTTTACGATAACCCTGGCTAGAGGAGAAACTGATTCACTAGGGAGAAAAAAAAAAAGATTTTAATCATATATTCCTAATCAGCCTGAGACCTTGATCTTCATGGTGCTGGGGGCCAAAGCAGTGATCTCCTTCTGCATTCTGTCTGCTATACCAGGGTACATGGTGGTACCACCGGACAGCACGTTGTTAGCGTACAGGTCCTTACGGATGTCAATGTCGCATTTCATGATGCTGTTGTAAGTGGTTTCATGAATGCCAGCCGATTCCATTCCTAACACAAAGCGCAAATCGATGCATTTAAGCATATGGATCAAAGTGCTCTGAATTCATCATTTGAAAAGAGATGGGAAGAAAACCTCACCGATGAAGGATGGCTGGAAGAGCGTCTCAGGGCAGCGGAACCTCTCATTGCCAATGGTGATGACCTGTCCGTCGGGAAGCTCATAGCTCTTCTCCAGGGAGGAGGAAGAGGCTGCGGTGGCCATCTCATTCTCAAAGTCCAGCGCGACATAGCACAGCTTCTCCTTGATGTCACGGACAATTTCTCTTTCAGCTATAAAAGGCAGATGAGAGAGTTGCAAATCAGTATTTATCATTATTTGATAATAATTTAAGTAAATGTTTCTTATGCCACTGGAAACTGTTTCTTGATTACATATGAAGAGTTCAGATGCAAAAGCCTCTAAGTGCCATTTGAAATTTTCTTCTAGAATGATCATTTTTATCAAGCTTGTATATTTAAGTTCAGTGATTTCACTTAAATGGCAATGATAATTACCTATTAATTGTTATTTAAGTGAAATTACTGAACTTAAATATACAAGTTTGATAAAAATCATCCTTAAAGAAGAAAATTTCAAATGGCATTTAAAGGCTTTTGCATCTGAACTCTTCATATATATTCCCGTCATGACAACTCTTGGCGTGTTTGCCATGGTAATGTTTTTTTTTTTTTCTACATTCTGTCACCTGATGGGAGTTTTAGTTCCTTGCCACTGTCACATTTTGATTTTGGCTTGCTTAGTTGGGGACACTTAATATTCAACGATATTATTGATCTGCATTGACACCATTATATGAGAATTAAGGTTTTTGATGAAAACATTCCAGGATTTTCTCCATATAATGGACTTCAATGGGAACCGAACAGTTCAAGGTTCAAATGAGAGTTTCAGTGCGGCTTCAAAGGGCTTTAAACGACACCAGACGATGAATAAGGGTCTTATCTAGCGAAACGATCTGTCATTTAAAAAATGATTTTAAAAGTTTTATAAGCACAAATGCTCGCCTTGCTCTGTTCCGTGATGAGCGTTCGTGACTCTTCTGTTCAAACTCATTCATCAAGATGAATGAATCTTTTTTTTTTTTCGAGGCATGACTCGAAGGGTCCTCGATAAGACCCTTATTCATTGTCTGCTGTTGTTTAAAAAGCCATTTGAAGTTGCACTGAAACTCTCATTTGGACCTTGAACCGTTTGGTTCCCAATGAAGTCCATTATATGGAGAAAATCCTGGAATGTTTTCATCAAAAACCTTAATTTCTTTTCGACTGAAGAAAGAAGTACGTAGATATCTTGGATGACATGGGGGTGAGTAAATTATCAGTCAAAAGTTATCAAAAGACTATAACATTACATAATACATTATACATATTACATTAACATACATTATTTTCCTGTTATCACTCTAAATCTACTTTAAAACAAACTATTGTAAAAAAGCATTATTAATAAAGGGGACTTGACTTGGTAATGTGTATGACAATGTTGATATGTTTGGTATTGAGAGAATCGATCTGCTACGCTGTTGCTGTGAGCAAGTAAGACATGCTGCTACTGTACAATATAGCATACCAGCCCGTTCTCATCCCAAGGCGTCACATACTGACGCTTTTGACAATGCATAGACATCCAACGCACATAGATATATATGGGCCAGAAGGCGCCTCCTAGTGGTCTAACCCTAACCCTACCCCAGACCTAAACCTACCCATAACCGAAGCTTGTTATATTGACACTAAAGGGTGCCACGTGCGTTGGATGTATACGCATTTTCAAAAGCGTCACTATATGACGCCCTAGGATGAGAATGCGTTGAGCATACATGAATTACCTACATGAGCATACATGGGTGGTGATGGCGCAGTGGATAAGACATATGTCTTTGGTATGAGAGACCCGGGTTCGAATCCACTGCGAGACACCAATGTGTCCCTAAGCAAGACACTTAACCCCTAGTTGCTCCAGAGGCGTGCGACTTCTCTCTCATATTTAGCAATTGTAAGTCGCTTTGGATAAAAGCGTCAGCTAAATGAATAAATGTAATGTAGATCTATGCAGGTGGAGCTGGGGAAGCAGGAATATTCATTATACTGGTACTATATATGTCCAGACCCACCAGTTGTGACAAATGAGTAGCCTCTTTCAGTCAGGATCTTCATGAGGTAGTCAGTGAGATCACGCCCGGCCAAATCCAAACGCATAATGGCATGTGGAAGAGCGTAGCCCTCGTAAATGGGCACATTATGGGTGACACCATCACCAGAGTCAAGAACAATGCCTAGTCAAGAAAAAGAAAGCATTTGGTAAAGCACATTCATAACATTTTAAGTCAAATATGTGCTTCGACTTGTTTGACAGGTGAACTGACCTGTTGTACGCCCTGAAGCATAGAGGGACAGCACCGCTTGGATAGCTACATACATGGCTGGAACATTGAAGGTCTCGAACATGATCTGCAAAGTGAGAACCAACAGTCTTTGAGATTTACTGAAAGTCAGGTAAAAATAGAGATTTTCTGATTACCCAAATGTTCTTTTTGACAACCCCAACAGAACAATTCTTAAAATCAGTCATTAAGATCGATTTTAAGATCAGTCATTCTGTGTATGCTGCATCAATGCATATTTCTGTAGAACTGTCATCTCGTCCTGAATAAAATATACAACCTAATCAGTTTTATCTGATTAGCTGGTTGTTTTTAGTAAATCAAAAATTCCCTAAAAAACACGCATGAGTTCTTTAAATGAATAGTGAAAACCTAACAAGTTGCAATTTGAAGCAATCTGAAACACCTTATAACTAACTGCTCTCTGCTAAATCATTAGTTGGGTCCGTATTTTTGGTTTTTAAAGAAATTAATTTTTCAATGAAAAAAACTAAATCAATATATATGCAATAACACATTAAAGTGATTAAAAAAGAAAGTAAATGGATGTATAATGTAACAAAAAAAATGAACAGTATAATAAAAGAAAAAAAATCTGTTTTTAAAATGAGTAATAATTAGAAATGTTTCTTAAATCAGCATATTAGACTGATTTCTGAAGGGTCAAGTGACACTGAAGACTGGTGTAATGATAGTGAAAATTCAGCTTCGCAATAACTGGAATTCATTTACTTTTTTTTAGAAAACAGTTATTTTAAACTGTAACAATATTCACATAATATTCACCAACAGCCTTGGTGAGCTTAAGAGACTTTTCTTTCAAAAAACATTCGTACCGACCCCAAACTTTTGAAAGATTATGGAAGCAAAACGGACATTATAATATACTTGGAACCAAATTGAGAGATGGATGGAACTGGAATTAGCATTTTTGAGTAGTTTGGGAGTTTTGGGGTTTTTAGAAAAGCCATTTTTAATTTAAAATGTAGTAAGTTCTGTTGTTATCATGACTTGACTTTCATATTATGTTATAGGTCCAACATAAATTACACATAAGCATACCTCAAACATTAATTTCAAGCCATGTGGAATTTGTTTTCTACTACCGACAGTCATAGCAGTTAAATGATCACTTAGGCCTACATATAAAGCACACACTCATTCATGTTTGAGGTTTGACAGTGTGTAATTTATGTAGAGCAAAAAAGAACAAATATTTTATTTACAAACCCGTGTCACAAGTAAACAACTTACCAGTTTATTTGTAAGTGCACATGTTTTATCACAGACACACTGCGCTAAATGCTGCGGGTGTTGAGTGAAATCACCCTTTGTCTGGTGAAACTATGTGGGTGTATCTTGTAAACACCTCAATAACCTAAGGGCTTAATGTAGGCGTTATACCAAATGCTTGTCCGTTTTCTATACTAAAATGTATCTACAGATCTTACATAATCAGTTTTCTCATTCAATTTTAGCTCTAACCTGGGTCATCTTCTCCCTGTTGGCTTTGGGATTGAGAGGGGCTTCTGTCAGCAGAGTGGGGTGCTCCTCTGGAGCCACACGGAGTTCGTTGTAGAAAGAGTGATGCCAGATCTGTTGAAACATAAACAATAGACATTATTAACGAAACAAACCGCTTTCACGTCAAATGCTTTAGGATGATAGGTGGGCATATTGTGCACAAGTGTGTAAAGTGAAAGCTCTCTCTTACGGTTCAGCAGATTGTGTAGGCCGAGATATTATCATAATAAGCAGGAATCGTTTGAGTGTTTTGGAAAAGTGCCATTATAATGGAATTTACGACAGAATTATGGAAAGATTGCAATACATAAATTCAAGCCTTATGATAAGCCATGTTTGCTGTAAAAGAGATATGTTTAGTAGACTGTTTAGACTTATTCCTTTATTTGCACTTATCATGTTTTGGTTTGTTTGATAGGATCTGCTTACTTTTTCCATGTCGTCCCAGTTTGTGATGATGCCGTGCTCGATAGGGTACTTCAGGGTCAGGATTCCTCTTTTGCTTTGTGCCTCGTCACCAACATAACTATCTTTCTGCCCCATTCCCACCATCACACCCTAAGGAAAAAGTAAAACCCAGTCAAGGCATGTACACAATAAACAGCCATCAAAAAGTTAGAGTGAGTTCTATGTAATTCTATCTTAATCTCTTCTATACTTGAATGCAGACTGTTACTGGATGAGGTCCAACTTTCCCCAAAACATTTGGAATCAGCTCAAGAATAATAAGTAAACGGCTCAGGGCATAACATGAAGTTTTGAAAGGTTATGTAAGCAAAACGTACGTTTGCAAGTGCACCTTGTTAACCTCAAATACACGCTCAATCAAAACATTTTATGTTTTTCTTGTTTCAAATGTACTGTAGTGTTGAGTGACGCTCACCTGGTGTCTGGGACGACCCACAATGGAGGGGAACACCGCTCTGGGAGCGTCATCCCCGGCGAAGCCTGCCTTACACAGTCCTGATCCATTGTCGCACACAAGGGCAGTACTTTCTTCGTCGTCACACATTTTCAGCTCAGATTTCCTTCCTTACTCCAATTGGAGACAATCACTGGAAGAAAGTGTCATCATTAATATATATGCTCAGTTTTAAATACCACTTTAGACTTGTCTTAGATTACAAAAAAAAAGATTCATAAATGAAATAAAAGGAAAAATGTATGCATAGGGATAGTGATATAGGGTTACATTAAAAACATTAAAGGTCAATGGTATGTGCTCATTTAGAAGGGAAATAACCATACATGTTTGACAACAAAGTATTCACCACACCCTTTTAAACTATGAAAAGGAATACTTCAAAGCACGTAGGTGCACTTGGCACGTTCATTCATAAACCAATTGATTCTCAACTGTTATTTCCTGGTAAGCAGGGAACAGAATTTGTTTAAAATGTAGCTTTAAACTTTGCTTTGGCAATATTTTGTGTCGCTAGCTCTAACTCTGATGTAATGCAAGAAATTATACTAATAATTTGTATTAATTTGGAGAAAATGTGTACACACACACGCGCGCGCACACACATTTTCTAAACATCCGTCCTGCAGCCCTTACTGAGTGCACTATGGGAAAATGTCCTAATTTGGAAATGATGGAGAAGCATGTCTGTCTTTGGACTCCCTCCCTTTGTCTCTGCCTCTCTACGATATTTCATGAAAAAAGAGAGTGGGTAAGAAAAAGAGGGGATGGGTCAGCGGTCCAGAAGAACCATATTTAGTCATAAACCTCACAAATCAAATGGGCTTCCACAGAGTCCAGATTTATCGAAACCGTCACCTTAATTTAACAACACACACGCCCTTTGAGCCTTTAACATTTAGCATCATCATGAAATCACATTACAGACACTAAAATGAAGATGCCGCCTCAGACATACAGTATGTAGTTATGCGATAGTTCTAAAACATAAATGCTTTTAGAAAGTATCATTTGAGTGTAGGTGAAATCATTCTGCAAAAGGAAAATATATCTTTACTTTAAGAAGGCTAATCTCTAGAAAGACTTGATTTCATCATCATCAGTGTAAAAACATTACACAGCAATACACACTAATAATGAAGACCAACCAGACTAACCAACACATCTTAAAGCAGCTTACACCTGTGCAGAAACCATTTCTTTATACAATTAGATATAGACAGCGAATTTCAAGCTGAAGCACTTAAAACGTACTTAAAACAGACTTTTGCAAAGTACCAAATCGGGTTGACAGATGGAGAAGGAGAATGAGAGAGCGAGGATGCGAGTGGTGTGAGTTGAGGTAAATTACACTTACCCTGACAGTGCTAGGCCGGGGGAGGGGATTTAGCCACTTGGTGATGGTGTGCTTCTCACTGGCTTGTGGTGTACTTATGTAGTTCCCCATCCCTGCTCACCGCACCCTCCCACATCCCAAACAAGGAGCCTGGGCTGCACTCAGATCGGTAGCCTCACTCCACTAAAGCCTTATAGGGATGACTGGGAGAAAACACTCCAATCCGGGCGGCAGTCCTCCTGCCTCATCACTCAGGGCATTCCAATGGCCCTTTTTTTTTTTTTTTTCCTCCTCAGAAATGTTGGGGACCTCACCATGCAGGAACATAAACAGAGAGCTGGGCCCTGCCCTACTACTAGGAAACACATCAAGGTCCACACCTGAGACAGAGAAAGAACAGCACAATGAATTTGGATTACATCATTACAGAGTTGGATCACACACTAAAAGTACGTGGGAGTGGAAAAGTTCAAACTGCTATGTCTTTATGTATATATCAACTAATAGCACTGGTAACATGCAACCTATTTGTACACATATGGTCAAAGGTTTGAGGTCAGTAAGATATTATATTGGTTGTGAAAAAAGCCTCATGACTCACCTAAAGCATTATTAAGAACACTGTTCAATTTCTCATAATGCAATCTAATCAACCAATCACATGGCAGTTGCTTCAATGTATTTAGGGGTGTGGTCCTGGTCAAGACAATCTCCTGAACTCCAAACTGAATGTCAGAATGGGAAAGAAAGGTGATTTAAGCAATTTTGAGCGTGGTTGGTGCCGGTCTGAGTATTTCACAATCTGCTCAGTTATTGGGATTTTCACGCACAACCATTTCTAGGGTTTACAAAGAATGGTGTGAAAAGGTAATAACGTCCAGTATGCGGCAGTCCTGTGAGCGAAAATGCCTTGTTGATGCTAGAGGTCAGAGGAGAATGGGCCGACTGATTCAAGCTGATAGAAGAGCAACTTTGACTGAAATAACCACTCGTTACAACCGAGGTATGCAGCAATGTATTTGTGAAGCCACAACACGCACAACCTTGAGGCGGATGGGCTACGACAGCAGAAGACCCCACTGGGTACCACTCATCTCCACTACAAATAGGAAAAAGAGGCTACAATTTGCAAGAGCTCACCAAAATTGGTTTCAGTTGAAGACTGGAAAAATGTTGCCTGGTCTGACGAGTGAGTCTCGATTTCTGTTGAGACATTCAGATGGTAGAATCAGAATTTGGCGTGAACAGAATGAGAACATGGATCCATCATGCCTTGTTACCACTGTGCAGGCTGGTGGTGGTGGTGTAATGGTGTGGGGGATGTTTTCTTGGCACGCTTTAGGCCCCTTAGTGCCAATTGGGCATCGTTTAAATGCCACGGCCTACCTGAGCATTGTTTCTGACCATGTCCATCCCTTTATGGGCATCATGTACCCATCCTCTGATGGATACTTCCAGCAGGATGCAGGATAATGCACCATGTCACAAAGCTCAAATCATTTCAAATTGGTTTCTTGAACATGACAATGAGTTCACTGTGCTAAAATGGTCCCCACAGTCAAAAGATCTCAACCCAATAGAGCATCTTTGGGATGTGGTGGAACGGGAGCTTCTTTCCCAGGATGTGCATCCCTCAAAACTCCATCAACTGCAAGATGCTATCCTATCAATATGGGCCAACATTTCTAAAAAATGTTTTCAGTACCTTGATGAATCAATGCCAAGTAGAATTAAGGCAGCTCTGAAGGCGAAAGGGGGTCAAACACAGTATTAGTATGGTGTTCCTATATTGTGAAATAGTATTACAATTTAAAAGAACCATTTTCTATTTTAATATTTCAAAATATAATTTATTTATTTGATAGAAAATCTGAATTTTCAGCAGAATTTTTGAATTTGATGATTTGATGCTCAAGAAACAGTTGCACTGATTTTTTTTAGCATTCTTTGAAAGTACAGCATTAGCTTGAAACAGAAATATTTTATAACACTTATGTCTTTACTGTCACTTTTGATCAATTTATTGCATCCTCTGTGAATAAAGGTATTAATAAAAAAAAATTTAAAATCTTTACTAATTCCAAACTTTCTAAATTGTATACTGTATAGACATATGTGCAAAAGTTTGGGGAAACTAAGTGTTTAAAACACTATGTAAGACTAGAACTGTTAGATTAAAAAAAAAGGTAACATGAATTTTAGGTGTAGCATCAACTGGCAAGGTTCAGCTGTGATAAGGTCTTCTAAAGAGATTTGGTTCAGTGAAAGACGGACAACATGGACAGTAAATTGTATGCAGAAATGGAAATTGGACATTTTTGCTGAACAAATATCTAATGTCAAGACATTACAGGGAATCATTTTATGAAGTTTTATATAAAAGAATGTATTTGTATTTGCTTGATCAACACTGAAGCCAAATTTAAAGTAGTAAGAAAGGAAAAATACAAAACAAGATTCAGTCAGAAGGAAGAACAACAAAGACTTTCTAAATCTATGCTGAAGTATGGAGAATTAAATATTGCATAATCAACCAACTGATTGCCTTGCCTGTTTACGTCTGAAATGCTAAAAACATATCATTAGGGATTCAAAGGTGTTTCATGACACTAATTACAACCACAGTTTCATGTAGGCCTAATTCTAGTATCTGTCCTCGGGTCACGTGATATACCGGCTCAAGCCTTCAATGGAAAAATGTCATGGAATGACAATCTGATTAACCAACAGTCAGATAATTTGGCATAGATGAAAGAAAAAAAATTCACACAGATGCATGGAACGCAGTCACGAAAAAGGGAAGCCTGTGATGCAACACACCCACACAACAAGTTACACCATTTCACCTTAGGCACAGATAGCCCCTATTTTTTTTCTTATTCGGATGCATTCCATTTTGTTTGGGATTATTCTCAATTAAACAAACTTGCAGAATGTGTCTGTTTCATTTTAGGCCATTTTCTGCTCAGCTCTCCTCATTCAAGGCAAGAGCTTGCTTTTCCCTTCCCCTTCAGAAGTGAGTGCAGACTTGTCGCACCAAAAAAGGAACTGTTCTGTAAATAAGAAGAGTCTTGGCAGTCCACATGCGCTCAGAGGCATGTAAGGCAAGAAATGACCCCTCTGAAGGTGTGGTCTGAGAAAGCACACAAAACACAGTCTGCTTCAGAGAAATACAGTGCATGTTGTGAACAAATGTCTCTGTCCTTGCGTGTATGGAGGAAGACCCCACGGATGGGGGAAAGGCCGGAGGAAGAGAATTGTTTTCTCAGCCTGAAATGTAATCTGTAGATATATGTACCTATGGCAGCTTCATTGCCATGTTTAGATGTACTTCAGTCTCCCATCCCAACGCCTCGTATTCTGGAAGTACAGTATATGATTCAGACTCATAAGAGATGGTATTGAATGCAGTAACATTGGCCAGCACATAATCTGATATGACACGTATCTTATCCTGCGATACACGTGCAATTATACCAATATTGTCTGACTGATCATAATATCATAATATGCATTTTAAATCACGTTTACGATGTTCTCTGGGCCAACTTTCCTAACTGCCTCTGGAAAGTCCTTTTCCCCTTCATCAGTGAGCCAACCACACCTTGTTAACACAAAATGAACCAGTATTTCAAGCCAATAAAATCAGATTCTTCACCCAAAAATGAAGCTCACTCCCATGTTCCAAATCTGTATGACATTCTCATTTTGAAAAATTGGGTTTTACAGTATATGTACTTACCGTGTACTTACAGGTTAAGGTCAAAGGTACTTACCATGTACTTACAGTGTAGAAAGTACTGGTCAGGTTAAAGGAGTAGTTCACTTTTCAAAAAACGTTTGCTGATCATTTACTCACCCCCATGTCATCCAAGATGTCCATGTCTTTCTTTCTTCAGTCGAAATGAAATTTGGGTTTTTGATGAAAACATTCCAGGATTTTTTCCATATAATGGACTTCAATGGAAACCAAACTGTTCAAGGTCCAAATGAGAGTTTCAGTGCAGCTTCAAAGGGCTTTAAACGACACCAGGCGATGAACAAGGGTCTTATCTATCAAACGATCGCTCATTTCCAAAATAAATAAAAAAGCTTAAGTTTTATAAGCACAAATGCTTGCCTCGCTCTGTTCTGTGATGAGCGTTCATGACTCTCCTGTTCAAACTCGTTCATCAAAATGAACAAATCTTTTTTTCGAGTCATGACTCGAAGGCTCCTAGATTTATTTTATATCCCTTATTCATCATCCGGTGTTGTTTAAAGCCCTTTGAAGCCGCGCTGAAACTCTCATTTGGACCTTGAACCTTTTGGTTCCCAATGAAGTCCATTATATGGAAAAAATCCTTGGAATGTTTTCATCAAAAACCTTAATTTCTTTTCAACTGAAGAAAGAAAGACATGAACATCTTGGATGACATGGGGGTGAGTAAATTATCAGCAAAAGTTTTTTTTAAAGTGAACTACTCCTTTAAGGCGTTTAGGTTCGGAGTTATTACCCAGTTATTGTAATTACTAAGTAGTATGTACTTGCAGAATTTACAATGGAAATAACATGCTACTGAAAAATGTCTCTATGCTTTTGACAGTACAACAAAAGTCAATTGAGTCCACTGTTGTTTGGACCTCTTTTACTTTTATTGTATGGACAAAAATATTTGAAACGTTCTTCTAAATTTTATTGTTTCACTGAATATTAAATATGACACAGATTTGAAACAACATGGGTGTGAGTAAATAATGACCACATTTTTTGGTTTTGGGTGAGCTGACCTCGATATTGACAGGGCTTATTATCAGTAGCAGCATGTGGAAGAGTTTGCTACTGGGCGGTGGACAAAACCTCTGCTCATTTGGAATGTGCTTTGACCGAAAATGGCAAAGCAGCTGTGCTCTTAATGGAGTCCAGCCTGTGTCTTATTGGACACTTAGCATCAACAAGCATCTACTCACAAGCAGCTCTGGAATGCCTTATGACAGTAGCATGCAGTGCTGTGCATTATCACTGTTCCTCAATCTCACAGTTGTCAATGGGCTATTTTGTGCTTAGAAACTCCCCATTGATGATTCAACTAAAACTTGAAAGCACGTGAGTGATGAAAATAGAGACTAAAAGGGAAGGATGCAGAA